ATCAAACTACCAATGGCATTCTTCACAGAATTAGAACAGAGAATTTTACAATTCGTATGGAAACACAAAAGACCCCGAACAGCCAAAGCAATCTTGAGACAGAAAAACAGAGTTGGAGGAATCAGGCTCCCTGACCTCAAACTATATACCACAAAGGTACAGTAATCAAGACAATATGGTACTGGTACAAAAACAGAAATATAGAGCAATGGTACAGGATAGAAAGCCCAGAGATAAACCCATGCACATATGGTCACCTAATTTATGACAAAGGAGGCAAAAACATTCAATGGAGAAAAAATAGCCTCTTCAATAAGTGGTGCTGGGAAAACTGCACAGCTACATGTGAAAGAACTAGACTAGAACACTCCCTAACACCATACACAAAAATAAACTCCAAATGGTTTAAAGACCTAAATGTAAGACCAGACAATATAAAACTCTTAGAGGAAAACATAGGAAAAATACGCTTCGATATAAACCACAGCAAGATCTCTTTTGATCCACCTCCTAGAGTAATGGAAATAAAAACAAAAATAAGTAAATGGGACTTAATTAAACTTAAAAGCTTTTGCACAGCAAAGCAAACCATAAACAAGACAAAAAGACAACCCTCAGAATGGGAGAAAATACTTGCAAATGAAACAATAGACAAAGGATTAATGTCCAAAATATACAAACAGCTCATGGAGCTCAATAACAAAAAAACAATCCAATTAAAAAATGGGCAGAAGACCTAAACAGACATTTCACCAAGGAAGACATACAGATGGCCAAGAGCCACGTGAAAAGATGCTCAACATCACTAATTATTAGAGAGATGCAAATCAAAACTACAATGAGGTATCATGTCACACCAGTCAGAATGGCAGTTATCAAAAAATGTAGAAACAATAAATGCTGGAAAGGGTGTGGTGAAAAGGGTACCCTCCTGCACTGTTGGTGGGAAGGTACATTGATACAACCACTATGGAGAACCATATGGATGTTCCTTAAAAAACTAAAAATAGAGGGCTTCCCTGGTGGCACAGTGGTTGAGAGTCCGCCTGCCGATGCAGGGGACACGGGTTCGTGCCCCGGTCCGGGAAGATCCCACATGCCGCGGAGTGGCTGGGTCTGTGAGCCATGGCCGCTGAGCCTGTGCATCTGGAGCCTGTGCTCCGCAATGGGAGAGGCCACAACAGTGAGAGGCCCACGTACCGCAAAAAAATAAAAACCAAAAAACTAAAAATAGAACTATCATATGACCCAGGAATCCCACTACTGGGCATATACCCTGAGAAAACCATAATTCAAAAAGAGTCATGTACCAAAATGTTCATTGCAGCTCTATTTACAATAGCCAGGACATGGAAGCAACCTAAATATCCACTGACAGATGAATGGATAAAGAAGATGTGGCGGGTTTCACTGGTGGCACAGCGGTTAAGAATCCGCCTGCCAATGCAGGGGACACGGGTTCGAGCCCTGGCCCGGGAAGATCTCACGTGCCGCGGAGCAACTAAGCCTGTGCGTCACAACTACTGAGCCTGCGCTCTAGAGCCCGTGAGCCACAACTACTGAGCCCACGTGCCTCCCACGTGCCTAGAGCCCGTGCTCCGCAGCAAGAGAAGCCACCGCACCACAATGCACACCACAATGAAGAGTAGCCCCCGCTCACTGCAACTAGAGAAAAGCCCATGTCCCAACAGAGACCCAATGCAGCCAAAAATAAAATAATTTAAAAAAAAACACCTTTCACTTTATAAAAGAAAAGAAGATGTGACACATGTATACAATGGAATATTACTCAGCCATGAAAAGAAACAAAATTGAGTTATTTGTAGTGAGGTGGATGGACCCAGAGTCTGTCAATAGAGTGAAGTAAGTCAGAAAGAGAAAAACAAATACCGTATGCTAACGCATATATATGGAATCTAGAAAAAAAAAATGGTATGGATGAACCTAGTTGCAGGGCAGGAATACAGATGTAGACATAGAGAATGGACTTGAGGACACAGGGTGGGAGGGGGAAGCTGGGGTGAAGTGAGAGTAGCATTGACAATATATACACTACCGAATGTAAAATAGTTAGATAGTGGGAAGCAGCAGCATAGCACAGGGAGATCAGCTCGGTGCTTTGCGATGACCTAGAGGGGTGGAATAGGGAGGATGGGAGGGAGGCTCAAGAGGGAGGGGATATGGGGACATATGTATGCATATGGCTGATTCACTTTGGTGTACAACAGAAACATAGTATTGTGAAGCAATTATACTCCAATAAAGATCTATTAAAAAAATTAACAGGGAAAAATATACTGTGTAAAAAAAAAAAAGTGAGAATACTTTATAACCATTGCAATCCATTACTATGATTTACATTAAATATTTTCAAAAAGTGAATTCTTACCTGATAGGAAAAATGGCAGCAGTTTACTTGTAATGATAGTCACCTATTTTTAGACTATAGCTTATGGACATAAGTACAAAAGGGCACAAAACAGCCCTAAGCTACAGAGTCCATGTACTATAGAGTTCTTGTATTTATATACAGTAAAATGCTCCAGCCTTTAAACAGAGTCTATTTTCTTTTATTATAGAGATATTTCATTTCTATCTATCAATAAATATTTACTGAGTTCTATTTATGTGCCATTTATTGATTTAGGTACTGGAGATAGAACAGTGAACTGTTCTTCTATTCTAGTTGCGGGAGACATACAAGAAACAAACTAAGGGAAAAAAATAGCATGTTTGAAGATAAAAAGCATAGAGGAATATAAAGCAGAGAAGGGGGATCAGCAGTGTGGGGAGAGACTGAAATTTTAAATAGGGTGAAAAGCGAAGGTCTTACTGACAAGGTGTCTATGTTTCCAGGGCATAGCAGACTAGAAGTACTGATAGAGTACAACTGGTGCCTACTGACAATAGCAAGAAAAAAGAATATGAGAAAAGATTTAAAGTAATTTAAAAAAGCAGACACAAGAACTGTGCCTGGAGGATTGCATATGAAAAAACAACCCATATGATCTAACACATCCCTAGGCATTATTAGTATAATTACAGCATTGATTAGAAAATATGGCATTCAAACCTGACTCATTAGGCAAATTAATAGACTAGGGCATTTTCACTATAGGCCCCAACCCACAGCTACTAAAATGAGAAGTTCTGGGGAATGACTACTGAAAGTGTGATCACCTGGGAGCTTGGTAGAAATGCAGAATATCAAGAGCTGCTCATCCTAGAGCTACTGAATCAGAATCTGTATTTTATCAAGATCCCCCAGTGATTCATTTGCAAAGTTCAAGAAGTACTGCTCTGAGGGTGGAATCCAGAATGCACGTTTTTTAAAAAGCTCCTCCAGTAATTTTGATAATTAGCTGAGTTTGGGAACCACTGTCAATAAGAAAACTAGGAATACTTTTAATGATGACCCAGCATTAAAAAGAAAAGTTTAAATTATATTCAGAATGTTACGTTCATTTTTTAGTTTTTTCTCCTTCTTTTCTTTATTACCCTAATAACATTATAACACTGAAAAGGGGAAAAAAAAAGTCACTCATAACTGCTCCTCCTTGACTCATTAACAGGTTTAATAAAAAAGTCCTGTCTTATCTATATGTACATACATTTTAAAAATGTTGTAATCAAAATAATGGACTACAACTTTGTATGTGTATCTTCAGTTTGCAAAGTAAGGGGAGAATGTGTAAAACATTTTAGAAAGCTCTGCATCCAAATGGGTTCAAATAAAAATTGAGGGCTTAAAGCTATAAACTTTTGTTAAGTGGAAAACTCATTTCAAAAACCATACTGGACAAATAGACTTTACATTGAAAGACAATTAAAAAGAAATGCAGGCTTTCAATCCTCAGCTGAATATCATTAACCTTTCAAAATATCAAACTCTTGGCTCTGAGCCTTACATTTTTTCTTAAAGAGTCATCTAGTGGTGGTTTTCCAGACCGAATTCATAGCTCTTGAGCATGTGATAAGAGAATTCAAATAATAATAGCTAAGTATTATTAAGCATTAATAATAGCTAGGCATTATTAGGAGTTTATATGTATTAACTCAGTTAATTCTTTTGAGGACTATATGAGGACTATTTTATTCTTATTTTACCAATCAGGAAATGGAGGCATGGAAAGGTTAACTATCTTGCCTAAGGTTTTAAATACTGAAAGAGGGATGGGGGAAAATGACGTGAGAGACCAGTTCTTAACTTACTCTGCTATTAGTTCAAACAAGAGAGCACTGTGTTAGGAAAGCAACATCATTTTAATAAAAAGGCAAATATATGAAAAATAAAATTGTAAGTTAAAAAAAGGAATCAAATTAACCCATTTTCTATTGCATCAAGATTGGGAATCAAAACAGATAAAACAGTTAAGCCTACACAGGTTACTGCTTTTTAAAATCAAGACATAAAAAAAGGATAGTTTAAGTGGGATTTCAAAAATACTTAGTAACTGAATGAGTTTATCAGTGGGAAATAAAAGTGAAATAAATATAATTTTTATGTTCTATAAAAAGATGAACTGTATCTTTTAAAGAACTTAGAATAGGAAAGAATAGGGAATTAACCTTATTTCTCAATCACAAACTTTCTATTGACTAGACTCAGAAAATATTAATTCTTAAAATTAGAAACACTACAAGGACATAAAATTTAAATGCTATGGCTTTAGGGACTTCCCTGGTGTTCCAGTGGTTAAGACTCCATGCTCCCAATGCAAGGGGCATGGGTTCGATCCCTGGTCGGGGAACTAAGATCCCACATGCCACAGGGTGCGGCCAAAAGAAAAAAGATGGGCATTTATATTTATTTAGACAAACTTAATGGACACTGGAAAAGGCTGGAATATTTTTTTAAATTACAGAATATTTTGACATAATTTAGAATCACTAAGTATATGTTTTATATGATTGAAATACAAATAAATTATTTGTAGGATAACATATAGTTCATTTAACTTCAAATCTCATCAGTAATCTTCGTTATTGAAAATTAGTACCTTGCACTTTTCAACTTCTTCTTCAATTTTCTCAACAATAGCTGCATCCAGAATTTGTAAATCACAAGAAGAACGAGACAAAGTACTGACAGGATGTCCCTTTAGCCAAGTAATAATTTCTTGAACTTTCTCAGCACTATATTAAAAACAATAATTTTTTCACATTAATTGAAACTTTCTGAGGGTTTATATAAAAGGCCTGATATGAACTTTCTGAGGGCTACGAATTATAAAAGATATCAAATATATAATCAATCACACCACTTAATTGGGGCTAATTATGAATCCAATATAAACATGGACATGTTATTTCTCAGTAATTATAATGAAACACAAAAATTAGTTTAAAAGTACTTTACTGATTAAATGAAATAAAAAATTATATTAAGATCATAAAGCAAGAACAAAACAATACAAAACCCTCCCCCCAAGAGTAATATAAATTCTTGATAAACTAACTACTACCCTTCAGTAGAACCACTAAGTTGAACTATGCGGCAATAAATCTCATAAATTTTGCTTACCCATTCTCATTTTCTCCAGGCCAAATGTCGTCTTCATAGAACACATCCTCTTGGCTATTTTTGGCTATATAACTAAACAGTTCTGGAGCTCTAGCCGAACAAACAAACAAAAATACTGCTTTTAAAAATATGGCTAATTTCATATAAACTTCCTATCAAATTTCTGGATCCTAAGGGCATATATTAAATATACTGAGGACTAATTATGTAAACATATAAGGGATAGAGACCAAAAGATTGAAAGTATTCATAGGTCCTCAAAAAAAGATGAGGGAGAAATGATTCAATTCTTAAGTATAATTAAACTATGATTTTTATAATTGAAATTTTTATAATTGAAACTATGATGATTCAGTTACTGACTCTATCCCTCTTAGACTATAATGACAGGTGATAAATGGACAAAAATAATGTATACAGGTTCATTTTCTAGTTTTCACAATAAAGCTAGAGCACTCCACAAAAGAGCAAATGAAAATCCACTAAAAGTTTCTTCTGATATTCCTCAAAATTCCATTGTTCTCTAACAGTGTACTGTAGTACTTTCAAATACACATAGCAGACTGAACACATGTGCTTATTTCTGCTCCCTTCCCAGCCTGCTAAAAGAATAGTAAAGTAGAAAAAAGGGCATGGACCTATAAAGACAGATGAAGAGAGAAGCAGAGAATCTGATAGTACATGCTGAGTTAACAAAATTTTAGAAACTGAAAACTGAATAGATATGTATGAACTGACTTGACAGATAGGAATAAGCTGTACCCTAAGTCAACAGACTGGGAAGTCAACAAGAAGCAAGTTGATGTGAACTGTGAAAGTCTGCAAAAGCTCAGGAGATATGGGCTCCATACATTTTGATGCTGCAGTATGGGGTGGGTTTAACAGGCTTTTAGTTGAAAATTTTGTATAATAAGTAGTTAGGCAGTCACCTCCACCTCAGCGTAAATCATGTAGTTTACTTTCAGAGAGGCTAAATGGGGGCTGCTCGAGCCTTGGGTAATCCAGGCACAGGAAACTGGATGGGTGGGGCATGAGGAAGAGAGGATAGGTGCCCTACTGAAAACAGGGGATCAGTGAAAATATTACTATACAACATGCCACTAGGAAGCAGGCTAGGAAGTATAACATCTTTAAGAAGCAGACTCTGAGATGGAGATAAACATGGAAAAAGTTTATTAGTGTGTTCTGTGGAAATAACACCTGTGGAAGGGAAAGAAGGAAGGGGAATTGGGCTCAGGGAGAAGTTGGGCTGTGGTTCAATCTTAATGAACTCCTTGGCCAGTAGCATAGAGATCTCAAAGTAGGATGGCTCCTCAGACTTATCCTGAACTGGGGCAATCAGGTTGGCTGAGCCTTTACATCTTCTTGTTGATGAGGTATTGGATGTGTGGCTGTTGTGGGAAAGGGACATAACTTTAGGTGAGGCAGTTCTCTTCTGTCGGGCAATTCCTGAAGAGGGCTCACTGCTGAGGGCTGTGAGACAGCAGCATTCCTGCTGCCCAGGGAGTAGGTCCTGAGTCGTGAAGAGACATCTGGGTGTGTACCACAGTATCCACTATGTAATGAGACCCCCTTACTCTGGTTAATTTCCAGAACACTGGAAGTCAGTTTTGTTCTCCATATCTGTCCTCCAAGAAAAAGGCTGCAGAATACCTTTCTGGGAAAACTACCCAGCTCAAGAGAAAAGATATACATATAGGTAGTGATATTTGGAGATGCTCTGCTGCAACAGCCAAGTCCCACCAGAGAAGCCTCACTGAAGCACATTAAATTTCCAGTCAGCATTTTTTTTTTTTTTTTTTTTTTTGCGGTACGTGGGCCTCTCACTGTTGTGGCCTCTCCCGTTGCGGAGCACAGGCTCCGGACGTGCAGGCTCAGCGGCCATGGCTCATGGGCCCAGCCGCTCCACGGCATGTGGGATCTTCCCAGACCGGGGCATGAAGCCGTGCCCCCTGCATCAGCAGGGAGACTCTCAACCACTGCGCCACCAGGGAAGCCCATCCAGTCAGCTCTTTAATCACTGAATAGAAAATATGAACCACAAGACCAAAAAAAAAAAAAAACTTTAACATGAAAACAGAGATCAAATCAAACAGAAGAGGAAAAATAAAAGCAATTTGTAGTAAACAGAAAGTATTAAGAATAGAAGAAAATCTAGATTACTATCTTCAGAGAAATAAAAGAAGATATTTCATTCATTATAAGAACAAGATGCTACAAAAAAAGGAATGCCAGAGAATAAGGAAACACTTCTAGAAATTAAAAATGATTAAATAAAAAATAAGTTAAAGCTGAAGAAATCTCCCACAGAGTAGAACAGGAGTATAATACAGAAAACGGATGAAAAGAGATAAGAAAATTAGGAGAATTAATCCAGAAGGTCTAACATCTATCAAAAGGAGTCCTAGGGCTTCCCTGGTGGCGCAGTGGTTGAGAGTCCGCCTGCCGATGCAGGGGATGCGGGTTCGTGCCGCGGTCCAGGAAGATCCCACATGCCGCAGAGCGGCTGGGCCCGTGGGCCATGGCCGCTGAGCCTGAGCATCCGGAGCCTGTGCTCCGCAACAGGAGAGGCCACAGCAGTGAGAAGCCCGTGTACCGCAAAAAAAAAAAAAAAAAAAAGAGTCCTAGAAAGAGAGAATGACAACAACAAAATGGTGAGGAGGAAATTATCAAAGAAATAATACAATAAAGTTTCTCAGAATGGAAGGGCATCAGTTTCAAGTTTGAAAGGGCTGAACAGCAAAATGAAAGAAAAAAGACCCATTCCAAGGCACACATCTTCACATTATTAAAATAGTATTGGTAAAGGGAAGATTCTAAAAAGGTTTCAGAAAATGAAAAACAGATCATGCACAAAGATTAAGAATCAGAATAACACAAGACTTCTTGACAGCAAAGGAAACAGGAGAATGGAGCAGCGCTTTTCAAATTCTGAAGGAAAATAATCTGCAATCTAGGATTCTAGACCCAGGCGAGCTATCAACCAAGTATCAGGGAGGTTTAAAGAAATTTCCAGACATGTAAGCTTTCTCAGGAAGCCACTGGCATAAGTGCTCCATCAAAATGGAGACATAAATCAGAAGGAATAAAGCATGAAAGCCCGGAAATAAAGGAATCCTATGCAGAAGAATGGTGAAGGGAATTCCTAGGATGAGAGTAAAGAGAAACTTGAATGAAAGCTGTACAACAGCCCAGGAGAGCAATTAGTTCACACTGAAGCAGGAAGAAAGACAGTTTTAAGAGGAAGTATACAAGAAGAAAATGGAACTGAGAGGTCACATGACCTGTTTGACTGTATTGTTTTCCAGCTATGGCACAGAGTTTGGGGCCGCATTGGTTACGTGAACATAGATAAGAAACGAATAAACAACACAGAAAAGAACAAAAATGTGCACAAGAAAGGAAATGCAACACTCTACAAGATCCAGAGGTGACCATTTACATTTACCTTAATCGACTAAACCTTAAGAACAGATTTAATTTAAAAAATTGTGATAAAACTATAATGAGAGGGGAAATGTGTTCAAGTGTGTAGGGAGGTAAGGGAATGGGGAGCGGGGCTGGTAAAAGAAAGCTAAAGCTTCATCATTCATGGCATGAAATCAATGCATATGTCAAGTTGAAAAATCAAGAAAAAGCAGTCTAAATATGACATTTTTAAGGAAACATGGAGGTAAATAGAAGAAATTATCTAAATTTTTAGATGGTAATATGCAGTTGAAATGTGTCTCCCCCACGCCCACCCCAACATAAGACATAACTGAAGTCCCAACTCCTAGTACCTCAGAATCTGACTTTATTTTGAAATAGGATTTTAAAAGAAGTAATCAAACTAAAATGTCATTAGGATAGGCCCTAATCCAATATGACTGGTGTCCTTATAAAAAGGGGAAATTTGGACACAGAGACAGAAACAAAGGAAAGATGATATGCAGCAAAGGAAACCATAAACAAAATGAAAAGACAACCCTTAGAATGGGAGAAAATATTTGCAAATGAAGCGACTGACAAGGGGTTAATCTCCAAAATACACAAACAGTTCACGCAGCTCTATATCAAAAAAATAAGCAACCCAATCAAAAAATGGGCAGATCTAAATAGATATCTTTCCAAAGAAGACATAAAGATGTCCAAAAAGCACATGAAAAGATGCTCAAATCGCTGATTATCAGAGAAATGTAAATCAAAACTAGAATGAGGTATTACCTCACATGGGTCAGAATGGCCATCAGCAAAAATTCCACAAACAGTAAACACTGGACAGGGTGTGGAGAAAAGGGAACCCTCTTACACTGTTGGTGGGAATGTGAATTGGAACAACAACTATGGAGAAGAGTATAGAGGTTCCTTAAAAAACTAAAAACAGTACTACCATATGATCCAGCAATCCCACTCCTGGGCATATATCTGGAGAAAACCATAATCCGAAAAGACACATACACCCCAATGTTCATTGCAGTACTATTATTTATAATAGCCAAGACATGGAAGCAACCTAAATGTCATCAACAGAGAAATGGATAAAGATGTGGTACGTATGTGCAATCAAATATTACTCAGCTATAAAAAAGAATGAAATAATGTCATTTGCAGCAACATGGATGGACCTAGAGATTATCATACTAAGTGAAGCAAGTCAGACAAAGACAAATATATGATATCACTCATATGTGGAATCTAATTTTCAAAAAAATGATACAAATGTATGTATTTACAAAACAGAAACAGACTTACAGGTATCCAAAACAAACTTATGGTTACCAAAGGGGAAATGTGGCAGGGAGGGATAAATCAGGAGCTTGGGATGAACATACACACACTACTTATATAAGATAGATAACCAACAAGGACATACTGTATAGCACAGGGAACTCTATTCAATATTCTGTGATAACCCGTAAATCTAAAAATGAATCTAAAATGAATGAATATATGTATACGTATAACTGAGTAACTTTGCTGTACACCTGAAACTAACACAACATTGTAAATCAACTATACTCCAATAAAATTTTAGAAAAAGATGATATGAAGACACATAAGGAGAGAACCATGTGAAGATGGAAGATTGGGGTGATGCATCTATAGGCTAAGGAACAAAACTCGTGAGGCTACAGGAAGCTAGGAGACAGGTATGGAACAGGTCCTTCCCTAGCACCTTCAGGGGAGGCATGGCCCTATCAACATCTTGATTTTGGACTCTGGTGTTCAGAACTGTGAGACAATAAATTTCTGTCGTTTTAAGCCAACCAGTTTGTGGTATTTTGTTAAGGCAGCTCTAGGAAACTAATACAGGGATCCTCAAATATAAGAAGGTTAGAAACCAGTGGAACAATGGACAGAACATTCAATTGCTAACCAGAAGTACAGCATTTCCTATGAATCGTTGACACTAATTCAGTAAATCTTGGTACTCAGATTTCTCATTTTTATAAGGAGGAGCTGAGACTTGTTGACTTCTTAGACTATTTATTTCAGCAATTAAATTCAGTGAATCTAGGATAGTAATCTATTGTCCAGCTGGAGTTTTAAGAAAATTCACTACGCCAAGAGTTGTTTTGTTTATCCATACCAATCCTCTTACTACTGACACAGACATGCAGAGTAGTGAATAACTTAAGATAGTAAGTTAAGGAAATTTTTAATTAAAAGGAGGCCAATTCTCACCTTCCTTTTTAATTTTGAATAATATAAGTACAGTATTTTTCTACTCTATTGTAACTAGTGGCTGTGATGCTTCATGACACTAAATTAAGTTTATATTAACATATGTCACATTTTACCAAAGGAAACATTTTTCTTATCAGCAAGGCAAAATAGTTATCACATTCCTACATTGTTGGATGCCTAGCAGGATCTTGCTAGGCACTTACCTCTCCAAGTACTCTGCAAGAAGTTGTTCTGCTGCAGATGAATACATCCATTCACTTCCAATTTTCTTAGTATATCCAGGTACCTCCTCATTTTTTTTGTTGAATTTGAGATTCAAACCCACATTTGCTTTATGGTCTCCATGAGGGCTGAATTTAAACCACACACACACATACACACAAAAGTTTTAAAATTTTGTTCAAAGAATAAAAAGCTTTGCTTTCAATTTTTAGAAAAGTTTAGTCTTGATTGGTTTTCTACATTTTAGTTATCATGGTTATTTCCAAAGTAGCAGTAGTGGAAAAACTAGAGGAAAGGCTTCAAAACCCAAGTCAACAAAGCATACAAATAGATTATGTAATTGAGAGGAGAATGAAATAAGGAAATGTAGGGAAATATATAATTGAGATTCACACACACCATCTGATACCTTTTTTCAAGGTTCAATTTGTTAGCTGCTAAAAATAAGAACTGTCTTTCCAAACACCTAAAGCATGTGCCATTTAGATAAAAGATCACCATCAGAGGAATCTATGCATAATTTTTAAAGAAAATTCAGAGCAATTAATAAGAGAAAATAAATACTGAAATATTAACCATTTTATCTTTATTATTTAATTTTTTTCTGCCACTTTAAGTAAATTTCTCTAACATAAACTTACTTTCTCCTAGATCCTCTTCCAATAAAAATACTTCCTGTAAACCTTGAAACAAGGTATCCACTCACTCCAAGGCGACTGGCCAACACATATCCTGGGTTGTACTTTATAGAATATTTCTTTAAATATAAAAACAAAAAGGTCAATTATGGAAACACAAAGCATTAAAGCAGCATTTCTTTACCTTTAAAATCTGGAGATAAGACATCACTAACATTTTGGATTGTGGCAATGTAAGGATTCTCAAAAGTAAGTGACCTATTACCCCCCACCCTGCTTTTTGTTAAAGGATTTATAGGCAGAATATTTCTGCTCCTCTCTCTCCTTAAAGAACAGAATTCCCAAGGATGAATCAAAGGGGGAGGAAACATACAGTTTGTGAAACTGCCTCAAGAAATAAACTCTACAGTAAGTATTAAACGGCAAACTCTGTAGGCGAGAACGATTTTTAAAAAATTAATTTTCATGTTCTAAGAAGGACCTGGTAAAATACCTGGGAAAAATTGAGGTCTTGATAATTATTACATTGAATTAAAACATGAGTATGTCATCAAAATAGTTGCTACTGAGCAAAACTGAGTGTCCTTCATATATAGATATAAGTAATATTTGTTTCCCCAAATCATTTATCATATGAAAATAAGTATGAATAGGCTCATAATTAATACATTGTTAATATAATTCAGTCAATGAAATGTAACCTTTATTTGTGTACTTATGGGAAGAAACTATGAAGACAGTCAAATTAAAAAAAAAATTACCAGATCATACAATTTTTAACCAGGAAGTAAATTACTCACAAATCCAGTACCAACTATGGTAAGCTACCATATACTCCTAACATTATGTATGTAATAATAATAATACATACTTATTTTATATGGATTTCATATACTATGTTCATGTAAATGAATATATAAATATAATAAATATATTATATTTAATAAATTATACAAATATTTTATATTCTTATTTCATGGGAATGTAAGGATTTTTATCATCAGCAAAGCAAAATTTACAGAGAATGGTAAGGAATTATTTTCCACGATTATTTTTTTAATGATCATGTCTACAATGACCCCTAAATGGATAAATTTTTTTAGTCGCCTGGTACATAAAGTCACTATTAAAATACATTAATATGCTAGTAAAGAATGCAACACAATCAAAAATATTATCAGATATAGAAATAATTTCAGAATATGAAGGAAGAATTAAGGCAATAGTTCTCTATCACAGGTAGTACCACTTTTCTAATAAGTATCTGAAAATGTGTTGAGGCACATTCAGTTACAATAATTGACACAGGTTAAGAACACTTAGTGTCCAGGCACCAAGATGCCAATTGTCTTGCCATATACAGGGCAGTCCTATTTAATACACAGTAGTCCTGCTCAAAATACAATTAGTACTCCTTTTGAAAAATATTGGATTATGGTATAGTTAAAGTTAATTAAATCACCACAAATATCCTAGAAATTATAAAATAAAAAGTAGAGAAAGAAGGCTTGAGTAAAAGATAAAGAAAATATGTAAAGAGAAAGAAAGTATACTGGAGAAGGCATGCCTAGCAACACTGTACCCTTAGAATTGGGTAGGCTCTGTCAGATCTAAAAAAAAGCCAGGGATGAAGCAACAAGTTCTTCTGCCTCCACTGACTCCCAAACAGAGTTCCAGCTTCTTCATCTAAAGGGCCACTCTCCTGATTTCCTGACTATGCCTTCTGAATTATTTCTCCAAAAGAGACCTGATGGCAAGATTTTAGGGACTTCTCTGCTTTCCATAAAGGTTCCTCACGGGTATGCTGATGCCTAATGCCTTAAACGCATTTCACAGGAAATGAAGTTTTAGATTTTTACTACTAGCAAAAATAAAATATAAGTAGCAACGGCTGGCTGAATGTGAATTAATTTCAGTCAAGTTAATTATCTAATCAATCAATAAAAACAAATGATAGATATCGGGATTATCCCCTTACTTTAACAGAGAAAAATAAAAGGGTGCCATGAACTTAAGTGCAGTTTCCCAATTTTCTCTAGGGACTGTTCATCTTTAGCTGAGTAGAGACATATAACCTTTGCAAGAAGGTCATTTGTTACTTGTAACTAAAAATGCAGACCTTGATTAATTACGAAAGGTTTAAAAAAACCCAAGTCTATTCCCAGAGGGTATGCTAATCAATGTGCCACTGGGAATTCCCTGGCGGTCCACTGGTTAGGACTCCGGGCTCTCACTCCTGAGGGCCTGGGTTCAATCCTTGGTCATGGAACTAAGATCCCACAAGCCACACTACCAACAACCATTAACAACAACCATTATAGATTAATAGTGGGATCTCAGCAGTTTTTCTCCCAAAGATTTGCATGAAGTTTTGAGCACAGATTCCACTTATTTTTAACTAATACTAGATACAACTGTGAGAGAATTTAATCAGTGTTAAATAAAATATTTGCAATAATTCAAAGGAGGTACCAAAAATATCTTTCTAACATTTTTAAAGGTAATCAATTCTAAATTAAATCACACGGACTATAGTACTCACATGCTGGTTTTGTATTAAAGCATCAAGATTGGGTTCACACGGAATACTGAAAATCACACGAATCCTGCCTTCTGTAATCACATCCCCTGAATCCTGAACCTTGGAGGGAAAAAAAAAGAAAAAAATCACAGTATGTTTTAGTCTCTTTCACTACATTTTATTTACTTGTTTTTCTACTTATTTGAGTAGTGTTTAGTATTTCTGAAATACAGTAACACAATAAAAGTAGATAGTGGACATTTTCTTCGAATTTGTAAGTGGATGTGCTTATAAATTTGAGTCATTGTACCTTGCTTTAACCAGTTGTTAACCAGCCTTTTAAAAAAAATTAACTTTAATTTGCAAATAACTTCAAACTACCAAAAAGTTGCAAAAATAAAACAAGTCAAAGAACATTTACCCAGATTCACCTATTATCGACATTTAACTCCATTTAACATTTGTGCTCTATGTGTGTATTTACATACACATAATTATTTTTTGAAACTTTCTGAGGGTATATTATATATATCATGTCCATTATCCCTAAATATTTTGGTGCATATTTCCTAAGAAGAGGATATTTTATTATATTACCACAGTACAGTTATTAAATACATAAATTTACAACACAATACTTTTATCTAATCCACTGTCCATACACCAGTTTTGTCAGTTGACCTAAAAGTGACCTATATTTATAGAAAACTCTTTACTCCCTCTACTACAGGATCAGGCTAGGATCAGATATTGCATTTAGTTGTCATATCTCTTTAGCCTCTTTTAATATATCCAGAGCCTTTGTCTTTCATACACTGACATTTTGAAGAATATAGTTCATTCCTCCCTCTCTACCCTGACTTTTTTTTTTTTTTTTTTTTTTTTGCGATATGCGGGCCTCTCACTGTTGTGGCCTCTCCCATTGCGGAGCACAGGCTCCGGACGCGCAGGCCCAGCGGCCATAGCTCACGGGCCCAGCCGCTCCGCGGCACGTGGGATCCTCCCGGACCGGGGCACGAACCCGTGTCCCCTGCATTGGCAAGCGGACTCTCAACCACTGCGCCACCAGGGAAGCCCCCTACCCTGACTTTTTAAAAACATTTCTACATTTGGGATTTGTCTAGTGTTTCTCGTGATTAGGTTAATGTTACATATTCTCAGCCAGAATAGTGCACAGAGGATGTGTCCTTTGTAGAGTACCCCATCTGGAGGTACATGATGTTCATCTGTTCCTCACTATTTTTTAATTTTGATCACACAATCAAGATGTTGCTCAATTTCTTTACTGTACAGTTATAGTTTTTTGTTTTCCTTGCAACTAAATAAACAATCTGTGGGGAGACACTTTCTAAGACCATGAAAATGTCTTGCTCCTGATCAAAAATTCCCCTTAGATTTAGCTTCCAATGATGATTGTTGCCTGATTCAATCTGAATCATTATGCTTGTTAAATGATGGTTTTCCAACTCCCTCATTCCCTCCACAATTATCTCTGACATGATAATATAGGCAAAAGTCTTTCCTTTCTCCATTTATTTACCTATTTATTATCACTATGGAATCATGCATTCCTATTCCCCGCCCCTGATGGTTTATAATTCAATATGTACTCAATTACTTTGGTACTTAAACAGTCCCAGATTTGGCCGGTAGGAGCCTCTTCAACCTGGTACCTGTGTACCACATATGCTCACATCATTCTTGTGAGTACTTCCTTGCTTTCCCGCATAACTAGTAGTTCTAGGCTCATCGTGTACTTATTCTGCCTCAGCCCTGTAATCAGCCATTTCTCTGAGAAGGCCAGTTCCTTTTTGTGGGATATGGTGTTAGAGATCAAGATCAGAGTGTTACATGCTACCAGGGTATCTTTGCTTCCAATCCTTATGAGCAAATAGGGCTAGAAAATATATGTACGTATAGGCACATATGCATTCATATTATCTACAAACATACATAAATATACCCATATACACGTGCCTATATACATACACATACACACGTATAAAGTATTTTAGCAATCATGAGTTCACATTAATACCTCCAATTCTAATCTGTTCCCACAGGTCCTTTCTTGCATTCTCCTGTTCTATACTTACAAGTACCTTTTCCCATGTGAGAGCTGGAGTTCCCCAAAACATCAACACATTTATCAATTCATCAACCCAATAATACATTGAAAATAATTTCAGAATTGCTTCATCCGTACTACAATAAATAAACCTATGAAAAAAGAGATTAGAATCTGAATTCTTCTTCCACCACCTCCTGATCTCAGTGTGCTCAACACTAAAGATATATAGCCAAATATTGTGTTTATAAATTAGATGAATGAACTCTTTCTTTTTTCCCCCTTCAGTATTACATTTTATTTTATGCCTAAATGAAGAGAAGTTAAATAACTGTATTAACTTGAAACCATAAAGAAATTTAATAGTAATAATAACAGGTACTAACTTCTCCAGTGCATCCATAATAGGGTGTTCCCAGCATAAAGACCATACTTCTAGGAGGAAACAAGTCATCCAATGTTTTAATATTGGAGAAACGGGAGTCAAAAGCTCGGATGTCCTATGTAGAATGAAATATAAAAGTGAATCGTTACAGTCAAAATTTCTATAGACTGCATATCAAGATTTTTTCCTATGGGATTATGACTATGCTGTCTACAAAGGTCAAATGTAAAGGTTTTCTACATAACAATACCAGAATCTAAAATTTACTATCTCCTTATATGCCAGACACTCTTCTAGGTACTTTACATATTTATTAGTTCATTTCATCCTGAAGACAACCCTCTGTGGCAGAGACCATTACTAGCCCCACTTTATAGATGAGGAAACTAAAGCACAGAAAGGTGATCTTGCCCAAGGTCATATGGCTAAGAAGTCAACTCAGTCAGTACTCTTAATCACTATGCTATACTGCTTCCCCCAAATTACATGATCACTACCTGCATTTAAAAAAATTTGCCCCCTTACAACATCTAAGATCACAAACACAAAAGCAAATGCTTTTTGTATTTACTAATTTATTTAAAGCAAACTTTTTGTGAGAATAATAAATAAATACAAAAGAAAAGTTTCCTAACCATACACAGAATGAGTGTCTGAGCGTGTTATACTCCTTTTAAACACTACAGTATTTTGCAAATTACATTAAATAATATCTATTATATATTGCTGCATATTAATATGATATAGTGTTTTCTTTATACAGTGTGCAACAGTGTACATTAAGATAGAATTGAGACCTGAAGGAGACTTACTTGGACAATAGTTTGATAAACAAATGGAAGAACTTGTTTTGACCACTGTTTCTCTAGACGGACTTCACCATTTTGATTTACTTGGTATTTACGACCTGTGAGTAACTGACCATATACAACTGCAGATGTTTCATTTATTATTATTCCTTTTCTTCTCAGGTAGCTCAAAGAAAAAATAAAAAATAAATATAGATGTGTATGAGTGTGCATATATTCTAAGATGATAGTCATCATTCAAACTACCAACTCATAATCAAATGCTTAAATAAACTTTAAATAAATATGCTAGCAGTTCTGAGTACCTAACTTAAGACTTTTTGCATTATCCTGTGGCTACCTTTCCCAAAGTCTGTAAGATTAAATAAGAACTCATAGAGTTGTAAGAAACTCCTGTGTTTCATACCCACTAGGCTGGCTATAACAAAAAACTGAAAACAAGAAGCGCTGTGGGACTTCCCTGGTGGCGCAGTGGTTAAGAATCAGCCTGCCAGTGCTGGGGACACGGGTTTAAGCCCTGGTCTGGGAAGATCCCACATGCTGTGGAGCAACTAAGCCCATGTGCCACAACTACTGAGCCTGCGCTCTAGAGCCCGTGAGCCACAACTATTGAGCCCGTGTGCCACAACTACTGAAGCCTGTGCGCCTAGAGCCCGTGCTCTGCACCAAGAGAAGCCACCACAATGAGAAGCCCGTGCACTGCAATGAAGAGTGGCCTCCACTCGCCACAACTAGAGAAAGCCCACATATAGCAACAAAGACCCAATGCAGCCAAAAAAAAAAAAAAAAAAAGAAAAGTGTTGGAAAGGATGTGGAGAGACTGGAACACTTGTATACTGCTGATGGGAACGTAAAACAGTGCAGCCACTGCGGAAAACAGTTTCACAGTTCCTCAAAAAGTTAAACAGAGAACTGCCAAACAGCCTGGCAATTCCACTCCTAAGTATGTAACCAAAGAACTGGAAACAAGTAATCAAACAAATATTTATAGACCTATGCTCATAACAGCACTATTCACAATAGCAAAAAGGTGGAAAGAAGCCATATGTCCAACAGATGAATGCACGAACAAAAGGTGGTATATCCATACAATGAAATATTTGGCCATAAAAAGAAGTAAGTATTGACATATACTACAATATGTATGAACCCCCTAAACATGCTAAGTAAAAGAAGCCAGACACAAAAGGTCACATATTATGTGACTCTATTTATATGAAACATCCAGAATAGGTAAATCCAGAAAGAGAAAATAGAGATTGATAGGGAGGGGCATTCAGTGAGCCTTTTCAGTCTAAAGTAGGGGTTGGCAAACTATGGTAACAGGCTAAATCCAGACTGCCTCCTATTCTTATAAATAAAATTTACTGGAACACAGTCAATCATTTATTTAATATCTATGGCTGCTTTTGTGATATAACAACAGAGTTGAGAAGTTGTGACAAAAACTGTAAAGTCTACAAAGCCTAAAGTATTTAGTATTTGGCCTTTACAGAAAAAGTGTGCTGATTCCTGATATGAAGATGCAATCATTCTTCACCTGAGGGATATTTTCTTGTCTCCTTTCCATTTCCTCTTTCTAGAACTCCTCTCAGCTACATATCAGAAATTCTGACTATACTATTTTCATCTCTTTGTGTACTATGTGCTGAAGAAATTCCTTAGCTTGATCTTTTAGCCCACTGATTCACTTTTCAGTATGCCCATATTACTATTCAGACCATCTACTGAGCTCATTATAGAAATCATAATTTTATTTTCGTATATGTGTTTATACAAAAATATATGTATTATATAATATACACTATATATAGTTAAATAACATTATTATATATACATATATTTTATATAGCTAAATTAAAATTATGGTGAAAAAACCAGATATGTTCCCTACCCTTATGGAGCCTACTATCTATGAAAAGAGTCTTAAAGTAACCACATTCATAAATTTATTATTATGATTCTATTTATATGCGATAAAAGAAAATTCAGAATGATGTGAGCTATGACAGGGGTATCTAACTTACACTATTGGGAGGCCAAAAATGCTCTTCTCCCCCTGACAGCTGTGTTCATCTCCTTTTATGTTGGATAGCTTTTCATGGTCTTTTTACATATTTCCTGTTTAATCATCTTTGAATAAAGATATTATGGCCTGGTATTAGCTCCTATAATTGTAGAAGAGGTGTCTCCTTGAGTTCCCATTTATCAATGGATGCTACTACAGTATGAACAGGAGGGCTGACTGATATACATTTATAACACCATTTCACGTGCCACTGCCAGTTTCTATTATTCTGTTTTGGTTTAGGGAATTCTAGTGTTTGGATGAAAAAGGAGAGGTACTGTTAGGGTGGGATCATGGGACACAAAGCACCCTGAAAATTAGCATTCCAAGGAGGGTTAGCTTCTTCTTTACTTAGCTGGTATAGACCTTGCATGTCTGAATTCAGAGCATAAGGGACTTGGGTGTAGGGAGGAGGGGAGTAGGGAGGAGGGAGGGGTGAAGAACAAAGGAGAGTATGCCCTCCTATTTTTATTAGTTACATGTGGCCAAGAAATTCAATGGCCTTATGGTTAGTGAAATTAACTCTCAAATTCAGGCAACTTATGAACTGTGTATTCCTAGTGTAAGTGATTATGTCTTTTCTTTTTTTTTTGTACATCATGAAGTATTTTAGTGACAAACTGGGCAAGGCTCTAACTGCTGCTAACCAGATTTTATTTTAAATTAGAACTCATTACTTTTTTAGACCATAAAATGAAGATGCAGTCAGTATTCAGAGTAATCACACTAAGTGGAAAATAAGTTAAAAAATAAGTACATTAGACCACCACATTCTAGTTCAATGACATTAAATACTATTTATGACACTCACTATTCTGAAATTCCTTGTACTTCTTTTGTCCAGTTAGATTGTTCTTTGTCTCCAAGATGGACCACTTTAGAGGGTGGTGCAGTTCTTCCCAAATAAAGCTTCTGTGTTCCTGCAGGTTCTTCCAAGTAAAACCTTAAAAATTAAAATTATATTACCCGCAAATTTGTGGTTTAATATAGAGTTCTAGTAGTGTGAGTCTTCAAAGTGAAAAGATTTCTACATGGTATAACGGCAAAAACCCAAAAAACAAAAAGCCTCCTTTTTAAAAACTGTAATATGAATTTCAGAACAAACACTTGTAAAAAATTTTAATCAAAATTTAAAACAAATTATTATTCTTTCTCTATAAGAAATTAAACTGAATACATAATAAAAATATAAAATTTTAAAGAATTAATACTCTCAAATTCAATAAAGTAGTTTTTTTTTTTTTTTTTTTTTTTTGTGGTCGGGGGGCTCTCACTGTTGTGGCCTCTCCCGTTGAGGAGCACAGGCTCCGGACGCGCAGGCTCAGCGGCCATGGCTCACAGGCCTAGCCGCTCCGCGGCATGTGGGATCTTCCCGGACCGAGGCACGAACCCGTGTCCCCTGCATCGGCAGGTGGACTCTCAAGCACTGCGCCACCAGGGAAGCCCCAATAAAGTAGTTTTGCTAAAAAAGTTTAACTTGATTCTAATCAAGCCACTATACCTAACTCCCAGTTTACAGGAAACATGTGGGATGGAGGACCAACTTAAATGACACTAAGAGGAAACAACTAGGTAAATTCAGAATTCTAAAAAATAACTGGCTTGGACTTTAAGAAAAAAGGCAGGGAAGTAAGTTTAGCCAGGTCCTAGGATATAAAATCAACATACAGAAATCAATTACATTTCTATATACTGGCTGGGGAAACTGAAATTGAAAACATAATACTATCTATAGTTGCTCCAAAAAGTTTTAAATACTTAGGTAGGTATAAATCTAACAAAACATATACAGGTTCAGTATGCTGAGGAAACAAAATAGTGATAAAAGAAATCAAAGATTAAAATAAATGGAGAGATAAATGGAGCTTCATTTATCCATTTGGATCAGAAGACTCAACATAGTAAAGATGTCAAATCTCCACAAATTATAAGTTTAGTACAATTCTTATCAAAATTTCTCAAAGATTTTTATAAATATAAAAAAAATTATTCTAAACTATATATAGAAAGGCAAAGGACCAAAAATAGTTAAAACAATTTTGAAAAAAAAAAAAAAGTAAGGAATCGCTCTACCTAAGGTTAAGACTTACTACATAGCTACAGTAACAAGACAATGTGGTGTAGGCATAAAAATAGACATAGAGGCAAATGCAACAACACAGAGAACCCACAAGTAGACCCATACAAATATGCTCAACTTATTTTTGACATAGGTGTAAAAGCAAACTAATGGAGGAAGGAGAGTTTTTTCAACAAATAGTACTCGAGTTAATTCAATATTCATAGGTAAACATATGAAACTTGACCCAAACCTCATACCTTATATAAAAATTAATTCAAAATGGATCATGGATTTAAATGTAAAAGGAGAAGGTAAAACTATAAAACTTTTTAGAGAAAATCTTCTTTGGGACCTAGGGCTAGGTCAAGAGTTCTTAGACCAAAAGCACGATCCATAAAACTAAAAACTGATAACTGGACTTCATCAAAAAGGCAGGGGAACTGAATTTTGATGATTAAAAAAGAATGTTCAATACCAGTTCATGCTGGTACTGACTTCTCATCAACAAAATTACGCAACAAAACACAACTGAGATACGTTTGCAGAGACCTAAGGAAAAAGGATTAGGCCTCTAACTCTAAACCTATGCATGAGAAAAACAACCAAAAAAACCTTTTGGATATGTAATAACTCAGAAAACATTAACATCCTCACATTTTCTCCGAAAAAAAAATTACTTTAGAAAGTTCTAGACATGAAAAATAACAAAAGAACAAGATATCAGACCAAGTAAAAGATGACAAAGAATAGCTTGTCTAAATAATCACTGATAAAATGATTGTGAACTTGAATAAAATGTTAAGAAATTATTTTTAGAATAGAAGATACGTGTTTTTTAATATATTATTTAAATGAAACCTGGGAAAGGCATGGAAAAGGTAAGGTTACATATGCTATTTATTCTTGTCAGAAAGAAATATATTTGCTAATTTATATAATGATAACTGGTAGAAAAGAATTAGGATATAGAACCTCCAAGCTATTGAAAGGAAAAGAAGGCAAAAGGGAAAAAATAATATATGCATCTAAAATATGCATCTCAACATTATAAAGCAACTATACTCCAATAAAATTTAATTTAAAAAATAAAATAAAATACTAATAAAAAATATGCATCTCAAGGTATGTACAATAAACTGTCAATAGTGGTTGAACCTGGAGTGGTATGATTAGAGGACTTTCATTTTCACTATAGAGTGTAAATATTTTACAAATATTATATCAGTTAAAATGTATGAATAAAAGCCAACAAATAGCAAAGCACATATAAACTTTAAAAATTATAAATAAAATCTTACTTAGTTTCTCCATCTGATACACCAACAACTCTAGCTTCTTCAAGATGAGGCCAATTAACAAAGAGAGACTTCCCAAGCACTGATGAAGCTATATTTTCTACACTCTTAAAGTAAAAACAGAAAAGTTCATTCATGTTTTAGGTCCAAGAGAGAATTTTACAGAGGCAAAATTAAATAATTAAAACTGGCTTGTGTTTATAACAGTGTACTTAAAATCTATAAAAACCATGCCTTAATAATTAAAACAGATATAAAATATTATTTGATGGCTCAGGCCAATTATTCCCTATTAGTAACTGCTCTTCTCAGCTTTATTCCCACTTAATTATTCCATCCACTTGAATTCAATTTTTAAAATTTCTCTTCTCTAAGTTGTGCCTTTATTGCCAACTACTCTCTGTCTTTCTAGTACATTTTCCAGGATTCCTGTTCTTTTAGATTTTTTCCCTTTCCTTTAAGTTTATTTATTTTTATTTAAAAATTTTTTTGGCCATGTCATGTGGCATGCAGGATCTTAGTTCCCTGACCAGGGATTGAACCCTAGCCCCCTGCAGTGGAAGCGTGGAGTCTTAACCACTGGACCACCAGAGAAGTCTTCCTTCTTAAAAAAAATTTTTTTTTCAGTTGTTTTTACTTATCTGCCTTTCTTTATTCTTTAATTTATTATGAATCTGTATAAGTTTACCAACTTTACCTTCCCCTCTGCCAATCTCTTCTTATTAGAAGGGAACTATGACCAACTTAAAAGTAATTTTCTGCAGTATAAACATCTCAACACTAGGAAGCTTGCCTCCTCATTTGTTCAGCAGCACTGGCAGTTATTAGTGAAGGATGGCCCACTGATTTTAATCCTAAATGAAATTACTTGGCGAGAAAACAGGTTTCAGTAAAATCAAACAGAAGAATACTGACCTATAATGTGAGTATTACTGTTCACAATAATAGCCAACATTAGTAGAAATAATGTTCAGCAAGAAACCTAGGTTCTTAGTTCTGCTGCTAACTAGCTGAGTGAATGTCCCTTTCCCAATCTCCATTTAAGTTTTTTAATTTGTAAAATTAATGAGCTGGATTAGCTGCCTCACAAAATTCCATCCAGTTGTAAAATTCTATGATTCTATTATTCTCATGATTATCAGCTTATTTTTCTCATGGAAACTGAGAAAAGTGAAAAGAACAGCATAGATGTCTAGCAAAGGGCTATTATTATTTCATATCAAATAATCAGATAGCATAAAACAGAATCTAAAATATGTAATTCATTTCAGTTTGTGGTTGGTATAATTAAATAAGAACACTAGACTTATTTCAAGTTAGAAACTATGGGTCCAAAATTGGGTTCTGCCTCTCTTCAGCTATGGACTCTTAGGCAAATCCTTTAATCCCACTGAGTCTCAGTTTTCTTTTATGAGAAGAAGTTATAACATCTACCTCACAATATTTATTTAAGGATAAAATAATATACACAAAAGCTTTTTTAAACTATAAAACACTGCACAGTTGGCCCTCTGTATCCATGGGTTCCACATCTGCAGATTAAACCAACTACTGATGGAGAATATTTAAAAAAACAAAAAGAAAAAACTCCAGAAAGTTTCAACAAATGCTGGCAACTATTTACATAGCATTTACATTGTATTTACAATTATTTATATTGTATTAAGTATTATAAGTAAAAGAGATGATCTAAAGTATAAGGCAGGATGTGTGTAGGTCATATGCAAATATTACACCATTTTATATAAGAGACTTGAGCATCCACAGATTTTGGTATCAGTGGGGAGTCCTGGAACCAATGTCCCATGGATACTGAGGGACAACTGTATAAATATTCTGTATGAAATAATACCTTAAGTACAAATTCTTAAAAGGAAACATTATTATTATTATTACTGTTGGTCAGACAACAACTTTGTGGTAGAAACTGAAGTTGAAATATAAATTTTGATTCACATTTTTTCTTTTCATTATGCTTAATCATTATTAGCAAATACTTCTTTAACAAATAGAGATGACTATTTTTAGACTTTTGGGGGTAACTTTTTATTTTATTTACTATATTTAGACATCTCTTACAGTGAACATATAAAAGAATGACTATTCTGATAAATAAAACAAGTTTCAACATTAGAACTAGGCTCCCTTAATTATCCTTTTCCCTTCTTTCCTAGATTAATCCTTTCCCCGTAAGCCCTAGAGGCAATCCACTTCACATCCTTTCCCTCTACAGTGCCTTTAAGACCTCCTTTCTTCTTTAGCTCTACCTCTCTTCTTTTGTACGGATTTGCTAAATGAGCTGCCTCTTCTTTACCTACAGTTACGTTTCTAGCCCTCTTTTCAATGATAAACTTCTTAACCAAGGGCTTAAGACTTGCTACCTCGACTTCCCACCTAACGAGTCCCGGATTAGTACTTAGGAATTGGACTTCTGCCTCCAACAACCTATGGGAATGGAATCCTCAAAGTCCGGTAATGATGCCCAAAGGACAAACTCACAGACCTTATTTTAGTTTTCACTCTTCTTGAACTGTATGTACCATCTACTCCATGCTTCTGTGACACTACTAAACATGGGAATTATTCTCTGAACACTATGTAGCTTTTACTGGTTCCTTTTCCACCCTTTCCACCCATGGGTACTTCCTCATGCTGGGGCCTTGAACCCTGAGAATCCCCTTTCTTCAAGGAAATGAGCCCCGAGGCCCCAGCCATCACTTCCTTGCCAACGCCCTACATATCCCTATTGCTTTACAAGCTCTAGCTCCAGGTATTCAACTGTGTATAAGTTGCCTTTCTTTTTTAATTAATTAATTAAATTATTTATTTATTTTTTCATTTATTTTTTTCGGTACGCGGGCCTCTCACTTTTGTGGCCTCTCCCGTTGCGGAGCACAGGCTCCGGACGCTCAGCGGCCATGGCTCACGGGCCCAGCCGCTCCGCGGCATGTGGGATCTTCCCGGACCGGGGCACGAACCTGCGTCCCCTGCATCGGCAGGCGGACTCTCAACCACTGCCCCACCAGGGAAGCCCATAAGTTGCCTTTCTTGACTGAAGTTTTTCATCTGAACCACAGAACACAAAAAACAATTTGACTATGTATTTCCCCAATTCTTCCAAGGATGGTACATAACTAGTACCATTCTAAATGCACAAAAGGTAAATTAATCTATTATAAACGAACGGATGACTTAGGGCAAGAGGGCTTAAAACTCTTGTGGAACTCTGTTGAGAAAGGCTGAAAGGGCGGCTCCAGTTAAATGTCCTAGCACCAACTTGAAATTCTATTACTGATAATTAATCCCCTCAAGCCAGTGCCTCTCCCATTTTAACTGCTTTATTCCAATAAACAGTAATTGTTTTTCAGTTAATTAGTCTGATATCTAAGAGTGATTCATATTTAATATTTTCTTTTTCTTTTCATCCCCTATTTTTGAACAAATGATGAAACTTGTGAATTTTATTTAGTCCTGTTCATCTAGATCTATTACCACTTCCACAGTTTATGTCCTTATTGTCTAAGGCTTCTATAACCACAACCTCAACTTGCAGGCTTTTCCATTTTCTTCCATTTTTTTGTATGCACTTTAGTCTACTATATTGCCACCAAATTAATCTTTATGAAAATACCAATTTCAAGATAACAGTCATGAAAAATAAGTCCAAACTCCTTAGCCTGGTATTCAAGGTCCTCCATAATCTGGCCTCAATCTGTTTTTTCAACCTTATTGTCTATTATTTCCCAATATAAGTCCTCTGATTCAGTCAGGTTTATCTATTCCTTCTCCTCAAATACATCACATTTACTCTAAAAAAAGAAAAAGTATTAAAAAAAATTCAGACCTACAAAAAGGTTAAAAAAAATAAGATAATGTATCACATTTATTTTTTACTATAACTCCCAGCTCATGTTATTCTTTTCAGCTGGAATACCTTTCCCCTCCTTTTTCCTCTTTGTGATAATCTTTCTTTTAGCACCCAGCTCAAGCTTATTTTCATTTACAGATCTGTACTTAATCTTTAGCTCACACAATTCATCTCCTCCTCAAATTCCTACAGCATTTTTTTTGCTCATTATGTCACAATTATATATGTCCTTTAATTTGTGTAAATGTTTCTTTACTTTACCCTTATTTCCTGTGAACTTCTGGAGTTACTACATGTTATACCACTTTGGAAAACACGTTGCAGCTAAAACAGTTTTATGCATAATAAGCACCTAAGAAATATATAATGAAGAAAATACTTACAAGTTCATCTGATTCTGCATTCACTAATATTTCCAACATCATGTTTTCTCCACGACTGCTTTGCTGGAATACTTGAACCCCACTTTTCTTCAAAAAAAACTTTAAAAGAAGTCATAGAATTTAATTTTAATTTTTTCTCCATTATCACTTCACATTCAATAAAGTGAAAAAATTTTATGAAAATAAATAGCCACTGACTTTGTGTTTGATGTGTTTCAAAGTAGGAAATCCACAGAAGTATAATGCCTTTTGGTCAACCCTGGTTATTTTGTTTTTGCTTATGTCTACACGCCAAGCATCTAATGATATTATTCTATACCTAGAAAATAAATGGAGGCATTTAATTTAAAATTCATACATTGCAAGCAATCACAGGTTTTCAGCATTCCCTTCAGTATTTTGCCAGAGTCCTTCTTGCTTTTAACAGGAGAATTAACAATTCGTCCTTTAAGAGAAAGAAAATATAGAGCAGCAGATTCTTCGTTGGTATTGATCCAGACACAACCATGCCTGTAAGATACTGAGTGGACGTCCTCCCCATTAATTTAATATATAATATATTAAAAAAATAATATATATAAAATATATAAATTATATATGTATATATACATGATTTTTATACTAAAGGAACATACAAAACATACTACAAATCTCTATATCCTCCATGTTCCAAAACCCAGAATGGAAAATAAACATTTTATAATGTCTATTTCATCTTTCTCTTTGTTTTAACAAAAGGAAAAATCATAACTGAGAAACGTTTATCTGCAACACGACTGCCATCTAGATATTATTTGCAGAGAAGATGAGAGAAGAGAAAAAACAAGGAAGACATCTTAATGAAGAAGAGAAAGTAGAAATAGGTTTGAGGCAAGAAACAGAGGAGCTATTTTTTTTTTTTTTTTTTTTTGCGGTACGCGGGCCTCTCACTGTTGTGGCCTCTCCTGTTGCGGAGCACAGGCTCCGGACGCACAGGCTCAGCGGCCATGGCTCACGGGCCCAGCCGCTCCGCGGCATGTGGGATCTTCCCAGACCGGAGCACGAACCCGTGTCCCCTGCATCGGCAGGCGGACTCTCAACCACTGCACCACCAGGGAAGCCCCCAGAGGAGCTCTTTTATTTCTTGTTCTCCTTCTTTCCAGTTGGGTGGTTGGGGAGTATAAGAGGCAAAGTCATAGCATGTCAAATAATGCTGAGAGCAGACACTGGCAATGGAAACAAAAATTCATAGAACTTCTTGAGGGAGAGAACAGATATATACAGGGGCAGGACAACTTCAACAGAAGACGAAAACAGAGAAGCAGAATTGGACCAAAGCAGAGAACTATAGAAACAACTGTGAGAGAGAGAGAGAGAAAGAGAGAGATGCTATGATTCTTGGCAAGTTGCATGTAATTCATTATCAATTGACTACAACTGTCATAAATTATTTGTTAATTCTCCAAGTAGATATTCAAAAGCTTGCTTTTTTTTTTTTTTTGAGCTCTCTGTTGTTGAAAAATTACCAAACAACATTACCTGGCGCAGCATCGTCCTATGGCAGGGAACTTTTCTGGCCATGGAGAGGGGTACGTGAACTCTGTCTCGCTATCATACCAGCACATTAGGCACTCACTATGTTGGTTTCTTTTCCTCTCTTCTTTTTTCAGGGAGTGGTTGCATGTCTCCATGGCTTCCAACAATCGCTTCTGAATATAAAGATTGGAGAGAGGGGTTAAAAATACAAAAAGTCTGTAATCTCAACATACAGAATAAATATTTTCCCTAGGAATACAGAATTACTATTTGTGTTCTTGAAAAACAAAAATCTTAACTAATACAATTCTTTTCCATTTCATTAAATGAAAAACAGATGTGCTATTCTTGTTTCAAAGGGCCCTAGAATATTGCTTGTCACTACAAATTCCTCTGAAACTATCACTCTAACAGCAATCACTAACGTGTGGATAAAATCAGCAGGAAATCAAAATTTAAATATGAATTGATCGTAATTATAATTTATCTTAATTCACTGCTCATTGATCTCTTACTTTACAAATTGTACAATGGTATAGGTATGTTCATCTTTCCAATTATCTTTTGTATTTAACATAATTCCAATCAAATCACAATGGTTTAAAATACTTCTTTTTAAAGGACAAAATGATGTTAGCGTTCATATTGGAAGGATGAATGTGTGAGCTGCACAAAGTTACCAGGAACTTGTCTTACCAGATCCTATCACTTTTTATAAAACTACCTGTAAGCAAAACATTTAAGTATTGACACCACAAGAGACCCACAGACCAGAAGAACAAAACAGAGTTCAAAAACAAATCCAAATCTACGTCAAACATGGTATTTCAGATATTTAAATAACGCTTTTGTCATAACTAGCTATCCAGCTAGGAGAGAAAGCAGCACATATATTTTCCAATATCATACCGTATATAAAAGCAAGTATCAGAGTAATGAGACAACAAAAATAATGGGAAAAAATCTAGGAGATTATTGATAATTTGGAGTGAAAAACTCTTAAATAAGGCAGGAAAAAGCTGAACAGCTTTAAGGAAAAAGACATTTTTCAAGTAAAAGAAAATGTATGTGATAAAAGATGTCACAAAAAAATCAACAGGCAAATGCCACACTGGGGAAAAATATTCCTAATATAAAAAGAGTTGTTCAAAATCAAAGAAAGAAAATGAGGAAAAGGATATAGACAGACAATTTACAAAAGAGAAAATGCAAAAGACAAACATACATCAAAATATACTTAAATTAGGAATCAGGGAAAAATAAATTTGAATGAATGGCATTCTTTATCATCAGTAGACTTTATCATCAAAATTAAATAAAGCAATAATATTCAGGACTAGAAAAGCAGAGAAGTAGGCACTTAAATATTGCTGGTGTAAATTAGACCAGTCTTCTTAAAAAAGAAGACTGGTAATATTCATTAAAACAAAAAATACACATTCCCATTAACCAAGCATTCCTGCTTTGGGGATTCTACCTTATAAAAATAAAATCTCTGATATATAAGAATGCATTAACAACAACAACAGAAAAGAATGCATTAACAAACAAACAAACAAAAAGAATACATAAACACACAAGTCCTTTTTTCATAGCATGTGTACAGTGGCAAAAAACATTAAGATTCATAAGAATTTACAGAATTAGTATGGTGTGTTCCCATGTACCTTTCAATGATAACATCTTACAGCCACAGTACATCATCAAAACCAGGAAATTGACACTGGTACATCACTACTACAGATTTATTCGGATTTCACTAGTTTTTATATCTAAATTTTGTGTGTGTATACAGTACTATGGAATTTTTATCATATGTAGAGATTCATGTAACCACCACTAAAACTGGAATACAGAACTGTCACATCATCATAAAGAAACCCCTTCATGTTATCCCTTTATAGTCACACCCTATCTCCAACCCTAACCCCTAACAACCACTGATGTGTTTTATATTACAATAATTTTGTCATTTCAAAAATATTATATAAATGGAACTATATAAAACCTTCCAAGATTGACTTTTTCACTCAAATGAACTTTTTTCCATCCGTTGTTTATATCAATAGTTCTTTTTATTGCTGAGTAGTATGCCTTTATATGGATGTACTACAGTTTTTTTACTCACTCACCCATTGAAGGATATTCAAATTTTTTCCAGTTTGGGGTTATCACAAATAAGTTGCTCTGAACATTAGTGTACAGGTTTTTTCAACATATATAGCCAGCTGTTTCAGCACCAATTGTTGAAAAGCTTTTTCTTTACCCATTGAATAGCTTTGATGTCTTAATTGAAAATTTATTAACTGGACAAGTATAGATCTATGTTTGGACTCAATTCTGTTCCACTGATCTGTCTATTGCCATGTAAATAACATACTCCCTTGATTACTTTAGCTTCATGGTAAGTCATGAAATCAGAGAATGAAAGTCTTCCAGTATTGTTTTTCTTCCTATAGATTGCTTTGGCTACTCTAGATCCTCTGCAATTTCATAAAGACTTTAGGATTTCTGATTTCTACACAAAAATCTGCTGGCCTTTTCATTGGGATTATGTTGAGTCCAAAGATCAATTTGGGAAGAGGGTACATCTTAACAATACTAAATCTTCTATTCCTTGAACATGTATGTCCCTCCATTTATTTAGGTTTCTGTATCTCAACACTATTGTAGTATTCAGTGTGCATGCTGTTAAATTTGTAACTGTGTATTTTATATATCTTAATGCTATTGAAAGCAGAATAAAAATCTTTTTATTTAAAAAAATTTATATTTTCCAATTGTTTACTACTAGTATATAGAAACAATTGAATTTTGTATAGATTTTATATAGATTTTGTATAGATTTTCTGTGACCCTGCTAAATTTCCTTATTGGTTAGAGTATCTTTTTGAAGATTGCTTAGAAATTTTTATATATGTAATAGTGCTATGTGCATATAAAAACAATTTTTCTTCTTCCTTCCTAATTTGCATGCCTTTATTTCTTTTCCTTGACTTAATACACTGGACTTCCAGTACAGTAATAGAATTGGTTAGAATAAACATCCTTGTCTTACTCTTGATTTTACAGAGAAAACATTCAAAATTTTACTATTAAGTATATTGTTAGCAAGTTTTTTTAAGATGCACTTTATCTGGTTGAGGAAGTGTCATCTTATTTCTAGTACTGTATGTTGAGCATTTTTATTAAAATTGGATGTTGAATACTGATAGTGTGGTAAATCACATCGCAAATCAACACTGTTTCTAAAATAAATGACATTTGGTTATGAGTATTATCCTTCTAACATATTATTGGATCCCATCTGGCTTTATTTTGTTAAACGTTTTTGCATTTACTTTTAGGAAGGATATTAGCAAGTAATTTTCTTTTCTTGTAACATCATTTACTATGGGTATCTGCATCATGCTGGTCTAATATATTGGGAAGTGATTATTCCTATTCTATGTTCTCAAAGTTTGTGTAAAATTAGTATTATTTCTTCCTTGAATGCTTGCTAGAATTCACAAGTCAAGACATCTGAACCTAGAATTTTCTTTGTGAGAAGATTTTAAATCATGAAACTAAATGTCTTTAAAAGATATAGGACTACTCAGATTTTTACATGTTTTTGGGTCAGTTTTGCTAAACTGTGTCTTTAAAGAACTGTGTTCATTTCACTTAGGTTGCTGAATTCGTTGTCATAAAATTGTTCACAATATCCCTTACGGATTCTTTTAATAGCTGTAGAATTTATAGGACACCTCTTCTTTCATTCCAAATATTGGCAATTTATGTGTTCTCCCCTCGTGCTCTGGCTTTTCTCAGCCTTTCTTGATCTGTCTAGCTAGGATTTATCAATTTTATTAATCTTTTCAGAGGACCAACTTTTGGTTTCATTGATTTTTCTCTACTGTTTGCTCATTTTCCATAGATTTCTGCTATTTTTATTTCCTTCATTCTGCTTAGTTTGGATTTAAATTGCTCTTGTTTTTCTAGCTTCTTATGGTAGGAAGCTTAATTTATTTTAAAATGTCTTATTGCTTAGGATAAGCATCTAGAACCTTAAGTCTCCCTTTAAGCCTTGCTTTAGCTTTATCATAGATTACGATATGTGTTCTCATTATCATTCAGATAAAGTATTTTCAAATATCCCTTTTAATTTCTTTAATCTATGGATTATTTACAAGTGTGTTATTTAATTTCAAAATATCTGTAAGTTTCCCAGAGAGTTGTTACTGATTTTAAATTTAATTCCATGTGGTCAGAGAACATTCTCTTTATGATTTCAACCCTTTTAAATTTATTCAGACATTTTTTTTTTTTTTTTGCGGTACGCGGGCCTCTCACTGTTGTGGCCTCTCCCGTTGCGGAGCACAGGCTCGACGCGCAGGCTCAGCGGCCATGGCTCACGGGCCCAGCCGCTCTGAGGCATGTGGGATCTTCCCGGACCGGGGCACGAACCCGTGAACCCTGCATCGGCAGGCGGACTCCCAACCACTGTGCCACCAGGGAAGCCCCAGACATGTTTTATGTCTCACCAAATAATCTTGGTGAATGTTCTTTCACTTAAAAATTGTATTCTTTAGTTGTTGGGCACAGTGTTCTACATATATTAATGAAGTCGAGTAGGTTTACAGTGTTATTCAAGCCTTTCATTTCTGGTAATGCTCCTTGTTCTGAAGCCTACTTTGTCTACTATTAGTAAAGCAATGCCAGCTTTCTTATAATTAGCATACCTACAAGTTTTGATGCACATAATGAAGATGAGAGTAGTTAAAACTCATTAAAAAAACAAAAATGGTGATTAAAATCCACTGCTTATTAATTTATGTGAAATAATATCTGATTAAAATATACATGTATATATAACTATTTCATGCACTGACCTCATCAATAAAAGGTATTAGAACCACAGCTTCCCATTCCTGTTGCTTCCCATTTAGGTCAGTTTTAAAATCAGGTGGATAATATTCTATAATTGGCGAGTCTTCATCTGTCATCAAATGCTGTGAAAATATAAAATAGCGTAATAGAAATGTAACAACTAATATCAATGTAGCTTTTTGTTAATGTATTTATAATATTTCCTCAATTGTAACAGTTTAAAATTTCTAAGCAAAGCAAAAGTAAATTTTCACATCTTAGATATGTTGTGATATACTTGTTATATTTTGATTTTCAAGTATGAGGCTTCTAATTTCACCACCATTCACCACTTTCCTGTTCCACTAAGCTAGTTATGTAGCAAAATTATCTTTACTCTGAATTTTATCATTTCTATCTTCTATTGTCTTTTCACTTTACAAGGCCTATCTAAATTGTTTTCCCATTCAGACTTCAGTTCATTTCACACACTCCATTTTTAACCTTAGGCAATTTATTTTCATGTCCTAATCAACTGATTTTATTAAGTTATATAAGAACTAAGATAATTTAAAAAGAAAAAAAATCCTAAAATCCAAAATCTTTTTACTACCAATAGCAAAGATAAGAAGTTCAATATGACGTGTTTATCAGAGATTTTATAACAGAAGTAGATAAAGAAAGTTAAAGATGTCTTCTAGGAATAGAATATAGAAGATTATGATATAAAAAATTTAAAGAAATAGCATATTTCTCAAGGTCGTATTCAAAGTATTTAATAATCAGCAAGTCATGAGCACAGAACAATCAAAACAGATGTGGCTATAAAAACCTGCATGGTTACTGGTCCAGAGTGGTTGAGTATCAATCCTTAATGTATGTGAAGGTAGGAAAAAACCACCAAAGAAACTTAAGAAAGAAAGGCCAGGGGCCAGGATGAAGGACAGGTTAAGTTTCAGAAAGATACAGAAGGAAGCCTGATACTGTTCAAGCAGTGAAGGCAGGTGTGTGTGTTTGTGTTTATATGTGTCTACTCCAGTTCCTTGTACCAGACCACGGAATTAGAAGAAGAGATTGATGCTCTAGAAGAACTAAATGAAGTTTACTCTCAGAATCAGCTTAGCAGGCTTGGCGTAATTTTGGTGACTCAATCACCCCTGAAATATCTTTTTCCTGTTACGTGAAATATGTTAACCAGAGAAAAGCCTTTTATTCCACAATTTGATAAATGAAATGCTTAAAATCCAAATATAAATGGAGGTAATACTTTTGTTGATATAAATAACTTATTAGAATCATCCATATTCTAATAGGTAGAGGGTAAAAGAGAACTGAAATGAAATCTGTAAACGTCTGGACAAAGTAGATGGCTTCGGATTTTGCCTATCTCAGTCTACTTTCATCAGTGCAGAGACAAACTGAAGATGTGCTTAAAGGTACTGAAAATAAAGAAGCTATGCTCTGAATGGCTTATGAAATTTGTTTGCCTTTTTAAAACAAAGCTAACTCGGGGACTTCCCTGGTGGCGCAGTGGTTAAGACTCCACGCTCCCAATGCAGGGGGCCCAGGTTTGATCCCTGGTCAGGGAACTAGATCCCACATGTATGCTGCAACTAAGAGTTCGCATGCCACAACTAAGGGGCTGGTGAGCCACAACTAAGGAGCCCACCTGCCGCAACTAAGGAGCCCGCGTGCTGAAACTAAGGAGGCCACAGGCTGCAACTAAGACCTGGCACAACCAAATAAATAAAAATAAAATATAAAACAAAGCTAACTTTAAATCAAGCAACTACTTTTCAAGGGACTTGTTTAAGGAATCCTATATTTGAAATTGAATATAAATATATTCAGCTATTAAAGAAATTTGGGTATGATGTTTCTAAGTTTGCAGGAGCTCCTAAATATTAAAAAGACCTAAACACATTTAATTCTAAAACTCACCTGGTAGCATGTAGGAAGTAAATTTTTGCTAGCTGCTGGAAGTACAGCAAGAAGCTGTTCAAATGGCTTAAAAGGTTTTCCTAGTTCAAAATGGATTTTGAGTGTACTGATGTTGCGGATATCAGATAGGAAAGGTGCATAATGGTACGGATAAAACCTATAAAACAAAACTGAGTTTTAAACAATTGGCAATTTTATGAAACAGGTCAATAGTAAGTATATACTTCTCCATATTCTATTTTAACAACACATGGCAATAATTCTAAAGACAAAAAATCATTCATAATTCTGCTACTTGAATATAAAAAATCAGCAATGTTGGAGATTTAGGTCATTTGATGGCAACAAATATTCTATTTCCTTAATTTTTTAAGTGCAGTTTCACACTCAAAAGTTGGATGCATGCAAGGATATATATATTAATAATATATAAATATATATAATATATAATTTATTATTTATATATATAAATAAGATAATGGCTGTTCAGTTTCGAAAATGTTGACTGTGAGTCTTCCAAACAATAGATTCTTAGAATGAAGTAATGAGGTAGTCAGAAGACGTTCAGTTAGCTCATGTGGGCCTGAGCTTCTCTTGTAAGGACAGAGGGAACAGTGAGTCTGAGCTCATATGCCTGTTACTGGTCAGTTCTAAGAACTTTTATCTTTGCATTAGTATATATATATTGTGTTTGTGGTAAGGATTAAACCACTTATCAATCATACACACCAACTATTTTTGTTTTTAATACCTTCCCATATTTAACTACAGAAAAAATATTTTTACAAAACTTGCAACATACAATTTTTTAAAAACTTTCAATGTTCTTAATGTTTGACTAAAGATACCAACAAAACAATGAAGAAATTTTTTTTTTTTTTTTGCGGTACGCGGGCCTCTCACTGTTGTGCCTCTCCTGTTGCGGAAGACAGGCTCTGGACGCGCAGGCTCAGTGGCCATGGCTCATGGGCCTAGGTGCTCCATGGCATGTGGGATCTTCCCGGACCAGGGCACGAACCTGTGTCCCCTGCATCGGCAGGAAGACTCTCAACCAATGCGCCACCAGGGAAGCCCAAGAAATATTTTTATATTCCACAATTATGTCATACTTCAAAAGGGTGGGAAAATTTAGGAGGCAGAATGGCATGTGAAACAAGGCAAAACGTATAGACTTTGGGAATCAGATAGCCTTGGACTTGATTCTTGGGTATATGTCATCTTGGAAAGATTACTTAACCTCTCTAATCCTCATCTGTAAAAGGCAGAGAACAATGCTTACTTTAAATAGTTGTGAGGATTATATGAGAACATGCTTTTCAAGTGCCTGGCCTTAACGCCTGGAATATAATAGGGATAACTTATACTCACCCTCTTAAAAAATGGCAAATCAAGGATTTTTGTCATAGAATACTCTTCAGAGACGCCCTGAGAATCATGTTAGTTATTGCAAAGATTTGTAAAGGCTATTAGTAAGTGAAATCATGTGAAATTAATGCCACGTTATTTTGCACTGGTCTGTTTTGCTGTTGGTGCTTTAAAACAGAGCCTAGCAGGTGTTCTGAAAACAAAACAAAACAAGCTATCTCATCACTTAAAAGTCTCTGCTTTTCCCTGCAGCATATTTTGGCTTGTTATTTTTTCTATAACAAGTGGATGGTTTGGAAATGTAGATGGAACTTGCTGGAATAGGAAACGAGACAAATTATTATTATTTCCAAGAAAAGCAAGTAATTCCTTTCTCCTTTCTTCTTTACCCTTCCCAGTCTAACATTCATATAACCCATTCTTCAATAATTACTCCTGATAGAAAATTTTTTCAAACACATAAAAATGTAGAGAAGAATATAATAAACAATCCCACTTAACCACTGCTCAGACCCATTAATTATCAAGACTTTGTCACACTTCATTCATTATAACAGAAAATTTTAAATCCTTAGATTAACAGAGAGCTTTTATTATGGGCCATCTGCTATAGCTGGAAGTATCTTTGTTATAAAAGGGTCTTTTTAAAGTATTTTCATATAAAAAAAGATTACCTGTATTTCATTTAAACTTGGCTGTATGTATCTTTTAAAAAATACTATCATAAATAGAAATAAAAAGAAAAGAGATTCTCAAATGAGCTTACAGTAGAATGAACCATTATAAAAGACAAAACTTTTTGTTTTTATTCCCTCACCAGCTCCAGGACTGAACTCCATGATAGTAATAATGCAAAATCCATTGTATTGCCTGAACATAACATGCAGCTTGATCAGCCAGAAAGTCACTGAAAATAGAAAAGAATATTTTCATTATAACATTATTTTTTGAAGACAGGCCATTGTGTTTAGAGCATATCTCCTGATATCACATTCTGCCTCACGTTTTATTTAATCAATGAATAAACCAAAAACTGCAATCAGAAAAACTCCAAAATATTATTTTTTAAAAATTCCATCATGCCGGATTAAAGGTTTGCCTTATAGTTTTCCTAAACCAACCATCAGAATACTTAAACATGCTGTGCATATTTATTCAGTGAATGTACTGTGCCTTTGGTTTAAAGTTTGAGGATTTAGTTAATGAAACTTTCTATAATGTGGCACTACCAATGCCTTAAATATTCAGGGTGTGATGAAAGATAGGGATGGGAATCTTTATTTGGGAGGATGCCTGAGAGAATCACAGGAGGAAATCAGAAGATCTTAAAATCTGGTTATAGAGCTAGAACACACTTTGAAAAGTGCGATATCCACTGAACAATATTCTCTCTAATCCCTTTTTCTCAAAAACCATCATTTAAGGTAAAATAATCACACACACAATACACACGCACACACACACACATGCGCGCGCACACACACACACACACACACACACACACACACACACACACAGCAAATAAGAGCACTCTAGGTTAAACCCCAAAGTGGCTATAAACCTTGTTAGTGTCTGTTACCAAAATTCAGGTAGAGATACACTTAGATATTCTAGATCTACATTATTTCTGGGAACTACGCTTTTTTTTAAAAAAATAAATTTATTTATTTTATTTATCGATTTTTGGCTGTGTTGGGTCTTTGTTGCTGCGCACGGGCTTTCTCTAGTCACGGCGAGCGGGGGCTACTCTTCTTTGCGGTGCACAGGCTTCTCATGGTGGTGGTTTCTCTCGTTGTGGAGCATGGGCTTTAGGCACGTGGACTTCAGTAGTTGTGGCTCACGGGCTCTAGAGCACAGGCTCAGTAGTTGTGGCGCCTGGGCTTAGTTGCTCCGCGGCATGTGGGATCTTCCCAGACCAGGGATCAAACCTGTGTCCCCTGCATTGGCAGGCAGATTCTCAACCACTGGGCCACCAGAGAAGCCCTTTTTTTTTTTTTTTTTAATTTATTTATTTTTGGCTGTGTTGGGTCTTCGTCGCTGCTCGCAGGTTTTCCCTAAGTGAGGCAAGCGGGGGCTACTCTTCATTGTGGTGCGCGGGCTTCTCATTGCTGTGGCTTCTCTTGTTGCACAGCATGGGCTCTAGGCGTGCGGGCTTCAGTAGATGTGGTGCGTGGGCTCAGTAGTTGTGGCTCATGGGCTCTAGAGAGCAGGCTCAGTAGTTGTGGCGCATGGGCTTAGTTGCTCCACGGCATGTGGGATATTCCCGGACCAGGGCTCGAACCCGTGTCTCCTGCATTGGCAGGCAGATTCTTAACCACTGTGCCACCAGGGAAGTCCTGGGAGCTATGCTTTTTAAAATGAAATGCATTACTTTTTTATTATAAAAGAAATATTTCCTCATTACTGAAAATACAGATAATGACAAAAAGCATTTTTATCACCTTATAGCAATCACTATTACCTTTTGGTATTTTTTTCAATCTCTTTTCTATGCCCAGGTTTTTTTTGTTTTAAGTATTAATGAGAGGATACTGTGCATTATGATTTTTGTATCCTGCTTTTAAAATTTGTACTTAATGATATACTGAAAGTATCTTTCTGAATTGTTATGAACTTCCCATAAGTACCAGTTTAACAGTTCCGCATATTCTGGAAACACTGGAAATGGCAGAGATAGTGACTGTAATGAGGAGGTGGTGGAGACAATTATGATGAACATTCTTACTGGACATGTACATCGTTTCTAATTTTTTACTTTTAAAAAACTTTGTAATAAACTTCCTTGTGTATAAAGATCTTCTGTGTTTAACTTTATATTTTTAAGATATTTAACAATTAGAATTATTGGGTCAAAGGGATGACTATTTTAAAGGCTTCTGGATATGTAGTTTCCAAAATAATTTTACCAATTTATATTTCCACCAGTAATTAAGGGAAGAAATCTACTACCACTCCTGGACCAACACTGAATATAACAACTTAAAAAGATTTGCTTATTTACTAGGCAAACAAATAGTATCTCATTTTCATAAGTCTATATTTTACTATATAAAAGGAAAAAGAAATAAAACAGAAGACTAGTTTCCTATCAAATTAAGCATTTAATGTCAACTGCATGTACTACAGTTCTATCTAACTGTAATCAAGGAAATATAAGAACAAAGGGAAAAAGGATTAAAAGCATAACTATTTTAAATATGTTATTTCTCAAGTCTCAGAAGTCCTACTTGCTAATGTAATAAGGGTACATAGCATTTCATGAAACTTTTATTTCACTTATAGAAAAGCAGCCTCATCTGGTGGTTAAGCATGGGCTCTGGAGCCAGACTGCTTGTGTTTAAATCCTGGCTCTGCCACTCACTACCTATGCATGTCACTTCGAGCAAATCACTTAAATCTCTCATTCCTTAATTTCCTCTATTTTAAGGTAATAATAATTCTACTTATCTTAAAGAATTATTGTGAGAATTACAAGTTAACATTTTCATGTTATATATATATATTTATATGTTTATATTATTAAAATATAAATGAGTTACTATTTTTCAAATGTTTAGAATAGTGCCTGGCACTTGGTAAGCACTTTATAAGTGTTTGTTAATTAAAATAAATAAAATACGAATATATGTAATTCATACTGTGGGCTGTAGTTTAGAAGTGTGGACCACCATTCTAGAGGTCAAGTTGTTAAGGAACTTTTGTACTAGTTATCAACCTGGGGCTGAGCCAGGTGCCCTTTGAGCTAAGTGTGATGTGAGCTTTAGAAGATGGGAAGCAAAACACTAACCATTTTCTATTTGGCAATTTTTATCATAGGACCCTTGAACAATGCAGGAGTTAGGGGCGCCAACCCTCTGTGTAGTAGAAAATCCACCTATAACTAGTTGGCTCTCTGTATCTGCGATTCCGAATCTGTGGATTCAACCAGTCGTGGATTCAACCAATTGTGAATCACGTAGTACTGCATTAAGTATTTAGTAAAAACAGTCCGTATATAAGTGGACCTGTGCAGTTCAAACCTGTGTTGTTCAAAGGTCAACTGCATAATACATGTCAATTAATGTTACCTTGTCCAAAACGGTACTAGTTGAAAGGCTTACAATAATTTATGAAAACAAAAAATCCTTTCCACCCATTACCATAACTATCAAAATTATGTTGTTTTCACTGCAAAGTCTAATTTTTTTCTACTTTAAAGTAAAAGCATTGGCAAAAACGTACTCAGAAACTACGTCAACTCCCATCTTTGTCATGTAATATGTTCTTTTATATTGTCTAAACTCGGTTTCAAACAAGTCATCATCTTCAGTCTCATCTTCTAAATTGTCTGGAAAAAAGACAGAAAGACAGTGGCTGACAATTACGAATATTCCGTTTTTACATCTAATGCTTTGATAAATACATATCAAAGCAGATGCTTATAAACTATCATAGACATCTATTTCATCCAATATTATTGAATTAGTACTAATAAAGGAAAGATATAACAACTATTCTGTCAAAAAAATTGCATATATTAAAATACATAGTTTGTACTCACCCTTAGAAGTTACCACTTCTTCTCCATTTTTGTCTAAAGCAGCCCAACATATTGAGTTTTCCTGGCCCTATACAAATTATAAATCAATATAAAATTAAGGCAGGATATACTTTAAGGTGAGACATTTAACAGGAAGATTTAAAAAATACTAAAGATAACTGAATGATCCTTAAGTGACACACTGCAAAAGTCTGTTTTAAAAATATTCCTCAAATGCTGTGTAAATGCTTTTGGTTTTATATCACTGTTTCCTGAAGCTATAAATCTTTATTATGTAGAACTTAACATTCAGACCCCTCAATGATAAATAACAAGTAATGTTCACCAATATAAAAGATAAATATATTTAATTATATATGTGTTCCAAAAACAAAACACTTCAAGAATATTTCATTTACTTAGAGAAAAGTACACAATCAATATCAAATTCTTTCAACTTTAACATTTTTATATGTCAAATTCTGGGCTATTGTTAACACAATCTGTTTGTTTATGATTGAATCCAATAACTACAAACATTACCTATTTTTTTGGGATCTCTGGATCCCATCATTCCTATGACTCTACCAGCCACTTCTAAATTTTCTTCCATGTAACTCATCTGCTTTTCTAAAGTTCTTCCATTTCATCACATCCTTCATATCCTGCCCATCTATTCTTCCTCCTTGTGATTTCATCCTTTCTCTCCTCTACTTCTAACTGCCTATCAACTGCCAGTGCCTCTCATTAGTTCTTCCTACTCCCTTATTTCCAATTTCCTTTTCTTCATCCAAGCTAGGGCCTCTGCCAATTTCCTGCGTCTGGGCTGTTTCTCCAGCTCCTTTCAATCTACCAGTGTCTCTAATGTTAACTACACACCCCTGGATGACTGGTGAAGCTTAAGGACTGAGCTGAGGTGGGCGGAGTCATGGATTATTGATATTTAAGTTTGTGGGTACGGGTCCCCCAAAAGTTGCAGAGCCTGTTTTATTAAGATAAGAAACAGAGTAGAATGCAGACTGACTACTGCTAAGCTCCACTGAGGAAAAGTTAAGTAATTAGAAAGACTGCACTAAAGAAAATCAGGACAGTTGCCCTTCCTGGAGCAAGAGATATTGGGCTTGAGCCTGAATAAAACCAGTACAGCAAAGAGAGTGCAGGAAACTCATCAGTTTCACCAGAATCCAATAACTATGGGTTAGCTGAGGAAAATTTCAGAAGAGGTTTATTTTCCAAGCTAACACACATAAGACATTCTTTAGGGCTTCTTAGAGGTGTTTTACAGTGTACTAGCATATTCTAACTGACTCTAGTCACTTATTGAGGACCTAACAGTTACCACATATTGTGCTATTAACTACTCTTAGCCTAGCGTATCACTGTATTTTACACACGATTTTATATATAAATTACTTCTAGAGAAAAATCACTGATCTAGTTAATGTCTCATAACATTAAATGCTATAAATATCCACACTTTAACTAATTTTCTGGGCTCTTATATTTAGAAATGTTTTGTACACTTATTAATAGAGTGAAAGAACAAAGAAAACACAATGTTCTTCGATGGTAAAAATAAACTGATTTCTAAAGATCAGATTTAAATGATAGGATCTAATAGAGAAAAAGAAACCAAAACAATTTTTTAAATGTCCATAGAGGAAAAGAAGAAATGAAACTAAAATGAGGCAACCCTAAAATCATAAGAAAGAAAATGAGAAACAAGGAATATCAGTTTTACCTTTACAGCTAAAAAAATGAAAGGACACCTAAAAAAATGGACACCTTTGATTTTTTCTTTTCCTTGTAGTTCTTGGCTTCTTCTGCTGCGACACCTGCTGCTTCATTGAGGTACTTGTTACCAACTTTGCTTTCAAACCACTTTAGGTCCACAAAAACTTCACTGAAGTGCTCTCGATCAAACTGTACAGAAATATTTACATTTATTTTAAAATAACTTAAGTATGTTTAGAAGAATACAGACCAAACTTTTAACAGTGACTACTTCTAGGGCACAGGAAATCAGAGGATATTACTTTTTTACATGGGGACTTCATCTATTACTCTGAAAACTAAAAATGAAAAGCAAATAGAAATAAAAATAACTTAGGTGAAATTACTTATACAGAATGACCAACTTGAGTAGAATCACAAAAACTTTTTCTTCTGGTATTATGTAATTGGTTACTGACCATTTATAGCTACCTGGGACAGGAAAACAAAAACTTCTAGTTACTTACATCTGATAGTTTCACAAGGTATTTCTCAAATCGAGGTAAGTTGAGATGTCCACTTTCATTAATATAACCTAAAAGGAACAAAATCTAAACTTGTACTAAAAGCTGACATTATTTTTTCTAAACAATTCTACAAAATTTTTACAAAACATTGAGTTTTGACATTCTACTAATCAAGAAAAAACAGTGTTGGACTATGTAAGTGGCCCTAGTTTCTATGAACTTGATGTTACTATAATACACAGCATGTAAGAACTGAAGGAAAATACAAAAAATTCTAGCTTTACATAGTAATAATCTTCCCAAATTTCCAAACAACACTGGGAGACAGTTAATTAAATTAAATATGTTCTAGAATCTATCTAGGTCATTCATTTGATATGTTAACTTAAGAAAGAAAAGACTAATGTCCTGCTACTCTGTTGATTGACTGATTGATTAGCTGATTGATTTGCTGTGCAGCGTGACTTGCCGGATCTTAGTTCCCTGACCAGGGATTGAACCCGCGCCTTCTGCAGTAAAAATGCAGAATCCTAACCACTGGACGGCCAGGGAATTCCCTGTCGTCTGTTTTATTCAGCATCACCACTATCTGTCAGTTTCCCATTTTAACTTGAAAATCTCTCCCTCATATTAAATACTCTGATGATTATCCATTCAGAAAACTAAATTTCTATGCTTAAATATGAAACGAGCTAAGTGAAATGAGCAACCTCTGCTGGCTTTCTTAAGCCATTTAAGGTGGAGATTAGTTAGGTATCAATAAATGAGACTGCTTAACTGGCGTCATCTTCTTTGCTTGTGAACCATTGAAAACTACAACTTTAGAGAGCTTGGCACCTTAGACTAAAAGAAACTCCAAATTCTTTTCCTACTTTAGTTGTACATGCCATAATCTAATAAACTGAGTGACATTTTTAGGGTTAGTTGAGTGCTAACTTAAAGTAGCTTCAGACAAATACTAAACTTTTCTTACCCCCAAGTTCTGGCAGGATGGTAATATATGTTCCATAAAGAAGAGGCAGTGCATCATGATTAATATGTAAATGAGGTAGATGAGGGATAAAATCATTGCCAACAAGAAATCCCATCAAAATCCAATCATCTATTATCCTTTCAATATCATATTTAAATGTGATCTTGTCCTATGCAATATGAAGAGAAGAGTCAAATCCTATGGAAATTTCTGCATATTCATCTTTGGCCCATGGTTATATTAATACTTACTTTTAATGCTGAAAACTCATAGTCAATATACTCTCTCATTAAAGACAAGTGTAGAAGGTGAAATGTGGTTTCTTCTGGTGCGCATACCCTGTAATTAGTCAGATGATCAACACAGAGCTTATTATATTTTTAAGGTTCAAGTTTAAAAACGTAGCTTAAAATAAAACATCATTAGAAAATAGTTAATTCTTGTCATTAAGGCATGTAATTTATAGGCAAGCTGCAGGGTAATGTTAAGATAAAAATATAACTACAATTACAACAGAGATAAGGTTCATAATAATAGGTTTACAATATGCTTTCTGTGGAAGGACTCTCAGAATTGAGAAAGTCTAAATAATACATAATATGTATTAATAATTAATAATTAATTAATACATAAGATGTAATAAACCAGTGGGATCTGGTCCATCTAAGGCTGGCCACCAGCAGAAAGCATATAGATAAGTGAGTACGTATACTTTTATATCTACTGCAGTACAGTCCAAGGCTTCAATGTTGAGGCACCATCACTTCCTCCTCTTACCTTTTCCGGGCTTGGTATAGGGGTCTATATTCCTGGCTGTGGCCTATACTCCAGGATTAATTACAAGTAAGAATATAAGCTGTTAACAGCATATTAAAAGCATTTATACACCATGAACAAATGGGATTTTCTTCAGGAATGCAAAGATAGTCCAACATAAGAAAATAAATCAATGTAATACACCATATTGATAAACAAAGGGAGAAAAACCCCCGCATAATCATTTAACAGAAAAAGCATACGTCAAAATTCAACACTCTTTCATGATAAAAACATTCAGCAAAGTGGGAAGAGAAGGGAATTTCCTTATATCATAATCAATGGTGAAAGACTGAAAGCTTTCCTCCCAAGGAAAGGAATTCTTGTTCCTAAGCTCAGTAACAAGACAAGGATGCTCATTTTCACTATAGTTATTCAACATTATGCTGGAAGTCTAGCCAGGGCAAGTAGGCAAGAAAAGAAATAAAAGGTATCCAAGCTGCAAAAGAAGAAGTAAAACTCTATTTACAGATGGTGTAATTCTATATGTAGAAATCCCATAGAATCTACAAAAAAAAAAAAAAATACTACCGCTAAAAAATGAATTCAGCATAGGTGCAGGGTATAAGGTCAACACAAAAATCAGTTGTGTTTCTACATACCAGCAATAAACAATCCAAAAAGGAAATTAAGAAACAATTCCACTTACAATACCATCCAAAAGAATAAAACACTCGGAAATAAACTTGACCAAGGAAGCAAAAGAAAAAGCCAGAGGCAAAAAAACTGAAATCAAAGATACAGAGAACAGACTGATGATTCACAAAGGTAGGGGATGGGGGTGGGTGAAATGGGTGAAGGCGGTGAAAAGGTATAAATTTCCAGTTATAAGATAAATAAGCTCTGAGGATGTAATGCACAGCAGGTAACTATATTTAAAAACATTATTTTCAATTAAAGGAAAAAAAAGAAGAAAGGAGGCAAAAGACTTGTACACTAAAACTACAAAACTGAAAGAAATTAAAGAAGACATAAATGAATGGAATGACATTTTATGTTAATAGACTGGAAGACTTGATATCAAGATGTGAATGCTACCCAAAGGGATCTATAGATTCAATGCTGTCCCGATCAAAATCCCAACTTTTTTACAAAAAAATCCAGAAAACCTATCTTAAAAATTATTAACCTCAGGAGACCCCAAACAGCCAAAATAATCGTGAAAAAGAAGAATATAGTTGGAGGTCTCACCCTTCCTGATTTCAAAACTTACTACAAAGCTACAGTTATCAAAATACTTGTGGTACTGGCATAAAGACTGACATATAGACCAACGGAATAGAATACAGATCCCAGAAATAAACCCTTGCATATATGGTCACGTGATTTTTGACCAGGGAGCCAAGATCATTCAATGGGGAAAAGACAGTTTTTCAACAAATGTTGTTCAGAAAACTGGACATCCACATGCAAAAGAATGAAGACAGACCATTACCTTACACCACATATAAAAATTAACTCGACATAGATCAAAGACCTAAATGTTAAGAGTTAATACTTATAAAACCCTTAGAATAAAATGGGAAAAGGCTTTATGACTTAGCATTCAGCAATGATTTCTTGCATATTACACTATAAAGTACAGGCAACAAAAGAAAAAAATAGATTGGAATTCATCAAAATTAAAAATTTTGTACATCAAATGACGCTATCAACAGAGTGAAAAGGCAACCCAGGGACTGGGAGAAAATATTTACAGGTCATATACCTGTTAAGGGATTACTATTCCTAATTTAATTTCTGTTCCACCTTCTGATATATAGGCAGTATGATTTACCTTTGTGTCTTTTTGCCACCAAACCGAACCTCTTCTCTTAAAAGAGAGAAATGTGCTTCATGACTTGTTAATCCAAGCATAATCTGTTGAAAAATGATGAAATGTTTCTATTCTCTCATTTTTTATAGCATCGGGTTCACAAAAGCAATCAAAAAACGTTTCTATATAGAGAACATGCTTATTTAAGGAAAATAATTCATTAGCAAATTAAATGTATAAATATCAAAATATGATATATCTACAGGTTATAAATTGGGTAAATTCTGTGTACTTTTCTAAGAAAAAAATGTTCACTTTAGACTCACATAACCTTTATAACCACCCCACTGTACCCCCATAAAAAAATCCCAATAATGTTCTCTTGGTTTTTACACCTTTCCACTTGCCACGGAGGAATGGGTAAGGAATTAGGGCAACAGCATTTCCATGACAGAAGAATACAGGACTCTTCTGGAGGCCAAGATACCTTTAGTGTGTGGAAACTCAGAAAAAACTGGAAAAGGATATTTTCAGTTAATATTCTCACATAGTATTCTAATCCCCAAAGTAAGTCAAATAGTCTAGTGAGCCATATCAACCAATTGCAATGTATATTGTTTATTTTCATTTAATCCTGATTCAAAGAAAATAAAACATTTATGAAGCAATCAGGGAAATGAGAATACTAAATGGTTATTTATATATTAAACAGTGATTTGTTAATTTTTGTTTTATGTGGGATATCATTGGGGTTATCATTTTTAATATTCTCCATCATGAAATATTTATAGATTAGATAATACATGTCATATACTTCAAGAATACAGGGGATGGGCTTCCCTCATGGCACAGTGGTTAAGAATCTGCCTGCCAATGCAGGGGACACGGGTTCGAGCCCTGGTCCGGGAAGATCCCACATGCCCTGGAGCAACTAAGCCCGTGCGCCACAACTACTGAGCCTGTGTTCTACAGCCCACGAGCCACAATTACTGAGCCCACGTGCTACAATTACTGAAGCCCACGTGCCTAGAGCCCATGCTCTGCAACAAGAGAAGCCACCGCAATGAGAAGCCCGCACACTGCAACGAAGAGTAGCCCCCGCTCGCCGCAACTAGAGAAAGCCCACGCGCAGCAACGAAGACCAACGCAGCCAAAAAATAAATAAATACATAAATTTATTAAAAAAAAAAGAAAAAAGTCTTAAAAAAAAAAAAGAATCCAGGGGAGGAGAAGGAAGGAGACAGATGATTAGGGAAAGGAGCTGAAGGTTACTGAAGACAGATGAAGGACACAAGGAGGTTCATTATGCTCTCTCCTTTACATCTGTTTATATTTGCAAATTTCTGTAATAGAAAGTTAAAACAAAAAGAGTCTAGCAAACTTGGGTTATGGAGTCATCAGATCAGGTGGTATTAAAAATCGTGTATTAAGAATGAGGGTAAAAAGGGCCCTCTATCCTGACCTCAGCAGAGTATTCATAGCACTAGGGTCAGTCAGGTGTGAACACTAACTATAGAGACCTGTTGATCATAAACTATGGCAAAAGAACTCCTTTTCCAAATGTTTTAGAACTTTGGTAATAGCAGAAGTAGCAATCATTATTATATCTCTGATATTTGTTCCCATAGCCAGAAATCTTCTTAAATGTTTTTTTTAATTTTTAATTTTTTTTTTTTTGGCTGCGTTTGGTCTTCATTGCTGTGCGTGGGCTTTCTCTAATTGTCGCGAGTGGGGGCTACTCTTCGTTGCGGTGTGTGGGCTTCTCATTGTGGTGACTTCTCGTTGTGGAGCACAGGCTCTAGGCGTGCGGGCTTCAGTAGCTGTGACACACAAGCTCTAGAGCTCAGGCTCAGTAGTTGTGGCTCGTGGGCTCTAGAGCACAGGCTCAGTAGTTGTGGCGCACGGGCTTAGTTGCTCCGCGGCATGTGGGATCTTCCCGGACCAGGGCTCGAACCCGTGTCTCCTGCATTGGCAGGCGGATTCTTAACCACTGCGCCACCAGAGAAGCCCAGAAATCTTCTTTTATTAAGACCAAGTTTCCTAGATATTTTAACTACAATGGCATAAGATTAGAATACAATAAACATTATACCTACCAAGTCAGCATCTAAGCCATAAAGACAGTGTCTGGTGTTTGGATCATGATCTGGCTTTGCCTTCTCGGATCTGATAAATTCCATGATTTTATGTTCTCCTTCTCCAGGAGTCTAAATATAATGTTTAAAAAAAATGTGGTAATATGCTATATTTCTCAAGATTAAATTTAAAAAACTCTTTAAATAAAATAAGATAATAACCTCATGGCCTGAGAAATAGATGGTAACTCCTTGCCACGACTTGTCTGTAGAAATTTTCATATTTACAAAATACTTCAGATGTTCGTGTAACCTGGCCATGAATTCAGTCCCTAAAAATAAAAGGTTTTTAAAAATTTAATCTGAGAGAGATATAAAAACAGTGAGTTCCCAGTGACAACATGAAATTGGATCTGGGTATCCAGGGAATAGCTAGGTATAAGATCTCCCAAGGAGGTCAAAAGCTCTCTTGCTTATCTTGAAAAGCGAGTAATGTTGTATCTTTCCCAACCAAATATCACAACTATTTCCAATTTTACCAGGCACCCCAAAATGAAGTTAATGTCAGATGGGGAAATTCAAAGAAGGTTACTGCTGCCTCAGGACTATGCTTCAAATATTTTCACACAAGGGCAGGGTTTCAACACTCCAACAAACTTCAATCTTCTATTTCTCTGCTGGATTCTAAAGTTTTTGTTTTTTTTTAAGGCATGTAGCTTCAAGAAGATTGCCAATAACAACAACTGTTATCATTACTATTTTTAACCTGAAAAATTACTATTAATATGGAAACTGAGTCTACAATGATTATGTTTCAGGAAAAGCCCAGATAGTCAATAGTCAAAGGCAATAAGTCTTAAACTGTATAACGATAAAACTGGTTATTAAATTGCGCAATGTGTCATTAGGGGACATAATGAAAGAGAAAACTACCATAGTAAAAATTAATGAGATAGTACGATTATAAGATTTTTTTTCAATGTAAAGAATTATAATGATGTTAGACAAAACTCTAGGAAGGGCAGACTGTGCTGTTGCATATAAGATTAAACTTGTAATACTGATAAATTAATTCTTCCTTAAAGTCACAGAAATCTTAACAGCCTCTGAGAAGAAGAGTAAGCACTCTAGATGAGGAAAGTGGGTTTCTTCTCCTGAATACAAGCTAGCTCTATGAACTTGGGTGAACCGCAACCTCATTGAGTCAGCTTTCATACAAATAAATGGCAGGAGTAGGACTGATCTTGTAAGTTCCTTCTAGGTCAGGAATTTTGTGCATCTGGGAGAGTCCTGTCCATAGGTGCCCTTATCAGCATTGGTAAATCCCTACAGTGGGTCTCCATAGGGGTATTTATGACCAAGGTGACCAAACCATCTCATGAAGAGACATAACTGGGAAAATACAGCAAATAGAATCCTAAGGACAAAATAAATAGAGGTTAGAAAAGAGAAATAAATTTACATTTACATTTTAAATCTGCCAGAATTTTTCTCTCAGTGAATTTACCTGGTGTAATGCAGTTGGAATCAAATCTGGCCTCTGTAGGAAGAGTTTCTCCTTTTTCTATTGCCTTTTTAATTTTGTCTTCTGCCTCCTTTGCTGACCTTAAATGTTAAGGGGGAAAAGAAGTGCTCAACTTTCTGGAAAAAATAGAGATCTCTACATAAAGTAAACGGTTATTTAGAAGTTTTTGTAACTAAAATACTAATTCATCAATTTTAAGTTCAAAACATATAAGTTTTGAAATGTCTATAATCAATAAAGATGAGCCTCAGAATTGTTTCTTTTCATTTAAAGAACTGAGTTTTTCAGCTAGGGACTATAGAAGTATATATATTATATTATTATATTACATTATAACAGTATAAAACTGACAAAGAATGTTACAAATACTTATTATAAAGTAATTCTTTTCTAATCACAAATATACAGCATATTAGTTCTAGAAATAATTTCAAAAGTATAGCATAAACATTCATTATACACACTACATTTAATAATATCAAATAAGTACATCATTAAAATGATCTCTAAGAATATTATATAAAAATAATTATAAAATTGTAATGTATATCTTTGGGTTTCCTCATGAAAACATCTAAAGCGAAAGCCTAATAACATTAATGACATCAGTAGCCAAAATGATCTCATTTTTGAGGCAACAGGATTTACTAAGAAGAACATGATTTTTAGAGTCCGATAGACACAGGTTTGAATACTGGCATCCCAATTCCAATCTGGCTTCTCCAGTTACCCATGTGTGGCACACAAATATGCCACATGGCATACAAGTTAGGAAGTCCTGCTTTATGTACATTTTCTACAGCCTTGTTATTAGCTCTATCTACTGTGCCCTGTGGAATTCTATTTCTGCGATAAACAAACTCTTCTTCGTATTTAACCTCTCTCTCTTACCAACCTCTTCAATATAACAAAGACTCTGAAGATATCAACTCATTTGTAATCACTCCAATGGAAGCCATTCTTTCCTCTTTTCTCCCCTTCCTTCTTTGACTAAAGAAATGATTATTCAATGTTACTATGTGACAAGTTCTTGGGATACAACAAAAAAGAAATGATTCCTCTTCTCGGAATTTACACTCTAGTGGGGAGATAGAAATTAAACAGCCATAATGTCTAATGTAGCTGCAATATAGAGAATGTTTGGGACAGGGGCAAGGCAAAACTATTAAAGTAATCTAGGTAGAAGATTATGGTGGCCTAGGCTGACAGTAGCAGTAAAGATGAAAAGAAGTAAGTAGATATGACTTAGATGTGAGGAATAAGGAAGAGAGAGAAGTCCAATTACTCTTGGACTTTGGAGTTGAGCAGTTATTTACATGATGTTATTCACAGAAACATAGAAGGAAGGCAGGTTTGAGGCAAAGATGAGTTCAGTTCTGAATATATTAAGCCTGAAATGTATCTATGGTATCCAGAGGAGGCATTTAGCAGGCATTTGGATGTATACAAGCTCTGGAAAGAGATATCCACCAGAAAGATAAGTTTGGGAGTCATCAGTACAGATTCAGTACTTAAAGTCATCGGATAAGATATCTTAGGACCCAGGACGGAACCTTAAGAAACATCAATATTTGAGACAAAGCAGAGGAAGAGAATATAACAAGGAGATTAAGAAGGTACAGTCAGAAAGAATTCCCTGGAGTACAGTGGTTAGAGCTTGGCACTTCCACTGCCGGGGCCCAGGTTCCATCCCCGGTCATAGAGTATAGTTACCTGAAGGTCATGGGAAGGAAGTTCAAGAAAGAAATAATGGTCAACACTGCTAAATACCAGAGATAAATGAAGTAATATAAAGACAGAATTATTCTCTAGATTTAGCCCCTTTAAGGAGTCTATTAATAATCTTGTAAGGAAGTTTCAGTGGCACGGTGGGGATGAAAGACAGATGGCAGCAGATTTAAAAGATGGCAGAGATGTGAAGTGATGAGGATTAAAGATTATGAGCGAAGAAAACAGTCGTCATGGAGAATGAGGAAAAGCTGACTGGGGGATTTGGAGGAAACATGGCACACTCGATGCCGCCACAGTACTGAGCGAATGCTTGTGGTGGTTAGGGTCAGCTGGCCCTCGACGCCCATTCCTCTCTCCTAGTCTGTCTTCTGATACTGGAGAGGTTGGAAGAAAGCTATAAAAAAATTAAACTCTCAGGCTTCCCTGCAGCTAGGCTTCTGGATATGACTTAGCTTCTTAATCTCTGGATCAGAGCTAAAGGAATAAATTCCTAGAACTACCTGTTCTGGTCAGGGCCTCTGAACTCCTCACCTTCCTGAATGTTGCAGTAGTGATGCCATCAGTGGGTGAGTTCTATGGTGTTGTTCTGGAAGTCATTCTTAAAGGCTAACCTAAATGCACAACCTTTTGGCTTTTACAATGATTTTTATAAGCACCCAATTCTCTGTATTATATTTCTTTCTGCTCAGAATAGTTAAATTTCTATTACCTGCAACTGATTGATACAGTGGGCTTATATAACCCTTTCTCAACACTAGATTATCTAGCCCAGCAGCACCCCATAACTAGTTTAACAAATACCAGGGGAATCTGGTAAACATAGTTTCCAGGGCCTAGTTTTTAGAGGTTCAGATTAAGTAAGTCTTGGGTGGTACTTGAGAATCTAAATTTTAGTAAGAGATGGCCCTTGTCTTCAAGGATTTCACAGTTCCAATATCTTCAGTATCTTTTCTCTTTTGATATTTAAATTAGTAGAGTTTACCATCCTCTACCCATTCTCACTGCTAGCCTTCTCCAAGGTACTCTCCCACCTTCCTTGATGATTTCCACATCTGATTCATAGGTGCCCTTTCTACTTCTTTACCTGCCATTGTGATGAAAGGAAAGGATCTATTAGGCTAATGACCTATCAAACTCACTAGACTCAGGGTTTCTTTCCTTCAGTTCCAACAACCCTCTTAACTTTACTCCTGTTACTCATAACAAGGACACTGCATGTTTTCACTGTTATTCAGAAATATTCCACAGGTCCAGGATTTTGACTTTAAAATCCTCTCTGTATACAACTCCTTTTCAACCTTTTGCTTCTACTACCCAAGTCATACACTGGGCTGATAATATCTCGAGTGTCCTAACTCAGTTCTCTTCTCATACTCTATCCACCCCCTTCTAATCTAACTTGCCTTTCTACCCAGTGGGGACCCATGTTCAAGCAGGGTCAGCATCTAGCCCAGGGTCAAATTAAATGTCAGTGATAGTCTCATTAGAACAATCTCTCAGTTCACTCTGCAGTTCCACAGCTCAGGACGAAATACTCTAGGAACTTTCTCTACTACTACCATTTCCAAATTACCAAGTTTTAGGAAGTCTGAAAAATTTGTGACAGAGAACAACAGAGTAACTTTATACAACATATACGTTGAGAAATGACACCTCATTTGAATTCCTAATTCATTTACTTGATTGATAAAACATGACATTGTAAGTCTGAGATACTCCCACTTCTGGGGGGAAATTTAAGCAGGAAAGAAACGTGAATGGGAGATGCACTGTGTTAAGTCAATTACCTTTGAAGTAATGTATTTTATTAATCTAAATAGTATTCGAAAATAAACCATAAATGTTTTACCTAAAACGCCTCCCACGCTGCTGGTTCATCTTTGCTCGAGGAGCCACACCGTCAACGGCCATGAAGAACACTTTCCTAGGTTTAATAATGCGAAACAACACTTCCAAGTAGTGAAAAATATCAGTAAAGATTTTATCATCTGAAATTCTGAAGTGAACATCATCATCATTAGGATGGGAACATTGATGTATAATACCATTCATATCCAGGTATAAGTTATCAAATTCAGGAATCTAAAAAACAAAGAAAAATGATCAAGATCATTATTATAATCAACACAGATACCTAGACATCTGATCAAAAGCAGGATACAGGGGCTTATTCTTATTATATAAAAACTGAGTAAACAATCACAGTTGAATAAAGAAAGTAAACAGGAGGAATAAGTAAGACAGAGACATATTATGTGGTTACATTATGCACCAAAAGCTTGATCACATTTACTGTCAGGAAATTATCTACTTATTTAAAATAAGATAACCTGAGAAAACACCAAATAAAGCTCTTGGTTGATTTGGTACTCAAAATATTAGTTTCCTTTCTTCCTACAATTTGACATTAACTCCTCAAAGCCTCAATTTCCTCTATAAATGAGTAACATAATGCCCATTTATATCAAAAGGCTATTTGTACATGGTCATTAAAAGGTTTTACAAGTGATTTAAAGCCTTATTGTATATCTGGTTTCACTGAAACAGAATCCTTAATTTGGTTATATTAACTTAAAAAGCTTAGATTATGTCAAGAAATTTAGGAAACTTTGAAAACTGATTTGTTTTTTATAGGTGGATTAAAGAGTTTCTAGACTTTGGCTAACAGGCATCTACTTTTATAGAAAGGCCTTCATGGTTCTGACTCTGATTGACGTTTCCTCTATTTAAATGTCTGTGAACAAGTAATGGGAACACTACTGAAACAAATATAAACTAACAAGGAACTAAAATGGGCACAACTTAATATCTAGTGTAATTAAGGGATCTGAGAGTAGTCTGCCTTACATACTAATTGAAGAAAAGTATTTTGAATTTTCAAACATAAAAACATAATGGGCATTTCTGTATAAACTTAATGAAAACTATCTCTGAAACAATTATTCAAATTTTACCATATGCATAGGTAACAATACATTTTCCTGTTATTGAGAAAATAACATGCCTTTGAGTTTTAGGAGTAAAAAGTTTTGGTCTTTGAATCAATGAACACCATAAAAATACATTTATAAAACACCTATTTACATAGGATTGGACTAAGTAAAAAAAATTTAAATGCCCTTAGTGAGTATTAGACTCGAATGAAATGACAACTGTGATCATGAGGTTTTAAATGTACATTCAAGATTTACTGTTTGTTTCAAGAAATCTAAAAACCTCAATCAAAATCTCAATGTGATTTTTTTTTTGAGGGGGTGGGGGTACTTTACAAAATGATTACAAAGTTTCCTTAGGAGAATAAACATGTAAGAGAGCATATTAAAGGGAGCGTAATGAAGGAAAACCTGCCCTATATGATATTTTTAATTATAAAATAGACAGTTTAATTGAACCAAATAGTTTAGAAGTAGTCTAAATGTACACAGAAATTTAGTATATAAGAGACATTTCAAATCAGTGAAAGAAAGGGATGGGGCACCTAGGTAACTATTTGGAAACAAAACTGTATTTCACCTTATAACAAAATAAATTCCAGAAGGATTAGAAATTTTAATGTGAGATATGTAAGTAAAACAATTATATACAAATATTTTGGCAATTTTCTGTGGGAAAGTTAGAAATCATAAATCAAACAAATGATGGAGTTGGCTACCTAAAAATGTATTTTTAAAATCTTGTAGGGAAAAAATAGTGCCATAAACAAGCCCAACTGAAAATGACAAAATGCAGGAAAATACTTGCAAATTAGAACCAAGTCAACATTCCTAATGTACAGAACAACCCTCAAATATCAAGTAAGAAAAAGAGCATATGTTAAAAGTAAGTATGGAAAATGCAAAGCAATTCAAAAGAAGAAACACAAAAGTCTAAATGATATAAAAAAAATTTTCAACATTCCTAAATTTCTAATTAAAATGATACATCATTTTCCCCATCATGTTAGCAAAGATTAGAAAGATGGATGTTACCCAATATTGGTAAGAATTTGGAGAAATGCATATTTCATGTTATTAAAAGCAATAGCTGGCATTTATTAGCTTATTAGGTGCCAAACATTGGGCTAAACACTTACATTCATTCTCTCACTTAATTATGGTAACAATCTTAAAAGAGAGATATTTCGATTCCCCATTTTATATTAGAGGAAAATCACAGGGCTAAAAGGGAGAGAGGTGGCATAGACATATACCCAATAGTCTGGGATGGGAATATAAACTGGTGTAACTAATATGAAAATATATATCAAAATTTGAGGTGTGCACATCTTTTGTGTGTGTGTGTGTGTGTGTGTGTGTGTGTGTGTGTGTGTATGTGCACATCTGTGACCCAGGACTTCTACTATTGGAAATTTATCCTGAGAAATAATCAGAAATGTGCACAAAGACCTAAGTACAAGATTATTCATGGCAGTATTGTTCGGAAAAGATAAAAAATTATATTATGTAACAAATGGGAAAAGAATTTGAAAAAGGATACGTGTCAATATATGTGTAACTGAATCACTTTGCTGTACACCTGAAACTAACACAACATTGTTAATCAACTATACTCCAATATAAAATAAAAAGTTAAAAAAAAGAAAAGATAAAAAATGAAAACAATGCCTAATAATAAAGAAAATTGATAATGGTACATCCACACAAGGGAATACTACAAAGCAATTACAAATTATAATATAGATTCATATTTGGCATGGGATAATGTACATAATACATATGGTCAAGTGACAAAAGTAGTTTATAAAACAGTAGGTAAATTATTATCCCACTTATTGAAAATATTTATCTACATATGTATCTGCACAGAAACTGGACCATAGTGTATGGGCAATTTGTGGTTTCTTAGAATAGTAAATGTTATTGGTCAGAGGGTTTAATTCTTTCCCCCCATCTACCTCCAGTAACCTAGGACATTGAGTAAGCATATAGTAGACGTGCAACTTCCCCTTGGATTTTCTGTATTAGGCTTTGTTTTTTGTTTGTTTGGTATTTTATAATCTTTCTGTAATTTCCACATTCTGGTCTAGTCTATTGTCCTCAACTTTAAGGAAAGTGCTTTTTTTAAAAAATAATGTTTTGCTTGGTTTCATCCCTCCTCCCTCTCCTTTCCTTCCTTTCTTTCTCCCTATTTACTTATTTACTTAACTCCTTACACTCCCAAGCCTTCACTGAACAAGAAATATGCTAACAGTAAGATAAGACTGCACAAAGTATTATATATCTCCGTATTTTTGGATCCTATGGTACATAATTTTTATATTCAATACAGATTTATGAAATAACTATAATTTTATAGTCATAATATACTTCTACCAAACTACTGGACCACTTGAACTAGGCATCAAAAATAGTTCTAGGTGTGTACACATTCAAACACCAATATAAGTCTTGTATATACTATCCATGTCAAGAATTCTCTAAAATAGGAATAGAGTTAAGCTCTACTATTTGTTTGTGTCACCTTTCTTTCTTTTTTCTAATATTACCAGCCATTGGTGCTTAATGCCTATTTCTATTAACTTATTTGAGGTTGCAAAATGGTGATATTCTATCACTTCTTTTTTTATTAATTGTAATACTTTTATAAAGGGGATCATTCTGCCTCTTGGTTACCCAGTGGTACAGGAAAGGTTTTCAAAATTGGGAACTGTGGGGCTTCCCTGGTGGCGCAGTAGTTGAGAGTCCGCCTGCCGATGCAGGCGACACGGGTTCGTGCCCCGGTCTGGGAAGATCTCACATGCCACGGAGCGGCTGGGCCCGTGAGCCATGGCCGCTGAGTCTGCGCGTCCGGAGCCTGTGCTCCGCAACAGGAGAGGCCACAACAGTGAGAGGCCCGCGTACCGCAAAAAAAAAAATAAATAAATAAAATAAAATACCCTTTAATTAGGTATTTATCATATCACACACACGAGTTTCAGAAAAACAATATTAATATTACCACTAATATGATTAATGGTAATATAGTTTTTTTTGCATAACTTTTCCCCATTCTCTCTTACTCCCATTTATTTTATAGTTGTGCTATCTAAACATTGTCAGAACACATAGCCATCATACACTAAACTCTCTCTTCACTCTTATTTTGATTTTGTTCTACAGGAAATTATATTTAATGTTCACCACTGGTATTTATGTTGATATTTCCCCAGTCCTTTTGATTGTCTGAAGCTCATTCTCTAGCAGATTCCTCAAGAAAGTGCTCAAAGGAACAATATTGCCTGACTTCTCCTACAATGATCATTTGACCAGCTTATCGTTTATACTTAAAAGTCAGTTGAGGGCTTCCCTGGTGGTGCAGTGGTTGAGAATCTGCCTGCCAATGCAGGGGACACGGTACTGGTCTGGGAAGCCCTGGTCTGGGAAGATCCCACATGCCACGAAGCAACTGGGACCGTGAGCCACAACTACTGAGCCTGCGCGTCTGGAGCCTGTGCTCCGCAACAAGAGAGGCCGCGACAGTGAGAGGCCCGCACACCGTGATGAAGAGTGGCCCCTGCTCGCCACAACTAGAGAAAGCCCTCATACAGAAACGAAGGCCCAACACAGGCAAAAATAATAAATAAATAAATTAAATTAAAAAAAAAAAGTCAGTTGAGTATCTTTATGTTACTCCATTTTTTTCTGGCATAAAGCACTACTGTGAAAAACTATGATGGGAACCTGATTTTCTTTCCCTTACAAGTCATATGTTCCTTTCTTGTACTTGTACAAAAGCTTTTTTCTCTTTTTCTTTAAAGTCCATGAATTTAACTAGAACATGTCTTGATGTTGGTCATCTGAGTCAATATTCTTGGGTACATGGTATATTCTTTCAACATGGCTTCAATTTTTTTTTTTTAATTTCAGGAAAGGTTTCTTTAATTATAGTTTTAGTATTTGTTCTGTTATATTGCTTTAAACCTTTTTATCTTCTAAAATTTTCTCTTATTTCCACCTTCTATTTTTTTCTTATGACATCATTTGTTTTTGCCTTGCTACTACTTTAGGCTTCACTTCTGACGTGATTTTGCCATTTATGTCTAATTTTCTTTAGGTTCTGTCACCTTATTCCTGAGTTTTTGTAATTGATATATGTTGTTCTTTCATGTCTTATTTTCTTAGTGCCTTTAGCTCATTCTGAAATAGTAGGTTGTAGTTTTGGTCTGTTATGTGTGCATGTTTTTATTGCAAGCTTTTACTGTCTGTATGAATATTATTTTGTTCCCCTTTTCCCCCATAATAACTTTGTATACTATTTGACCTTGACACTTTTCTATCATTCATTTTTATGTAAACTTAATTTTCCTGAACTTTTGCAATGAGAAGGGGTTCAGGAAAGCTTTAACTTTACAAAGCTCCCTCTTCTGCTATTTTGGGGTAGTATTAAAAAATATGGTGGCTTGCCTGGTTTGTTTTCTAAGATTTCTTGACTCTGTAACCCTCCCTCACTTTTATCTTGACCTTCTTATCTCTCTTGTCTCCTTCCTGATAAAATTTTATTTCACTCCCAGCACTTTCTCCTTAGGGTGGGCTCTACCTTAGAATGGTACCTTGCCAAGTCAGTTTTGTGGGTTCACAGGAGTTAGACTGCTCCTGCCCTTTAAAACCCCCCAGTTACAGCTACTGCTATCTAATAGGCTTGTAGAGTCTTAGTGAATATTCTGGAGTTCTGCTCTCAGGTTCATCAGATGTTGCCCCATTTCTCCTTCTTCCTCTTGCACACATGCCAACACCAACTGGGTCTAGAGGTTATCGGTAGTCTGTCCCCACCAAATTGTATCTTGGGGTTCATGGGGATACCCTGTCATATGGTTTTGTTGTAATTGTTCTATGGATTTTAAATTTAGCTATCTAGTTTCTCTTTCTGTTTTCAAATGAGGATTCAGAGAAACCAAAAACTATGCTATGTCACCACTGCCACCATCTTCCCAGAACCCACCCCTCCATCCAGTCCCTTTCCCCAAGGACTAGCTTTTGAACTGCTGTGACTTAGGAACTACCATGTTTTAAGTACTGCTTGAGAGAGTAGCTGGTGATTTCTTTTTGAAAGACATCACTTTGATGAACCAAGTTTTAAACCTATTGTTAGTGTTCGTGTCATAAAATTGCCTTAAAGCCATTATTTTTGTTCAGTAACAAAATTCCTCAAGATGGAGAAAATCCAAGATCCTTACACCAAACCAAATTCTGTGCCAAAGAGTAGAGAGTAAAAAGATTACTGAACAGATTGTGCATTGTCAAGTTAGTCTGAATTTTTCAATTTAGAGATAAAGTGCCTGATGCATGGCAGGTACTCAAATATTTGAGTGAAGGATCCAGGAAATGCCTAAGTTAGTTGTCACCATTTTTATCCTCTTCTCTGGAAAGAAATGTTTTCCTAAATCTAATTCAACCCATGCTTCAAATAAATTAAAGACAAACCACCATTCTGGAATTTTTGGTAAGCTTTTCCTCATATACCAAACCTGACTGGAATCCAACAACAAAGAATCCTTTCCAGAAGTTTAACCCCATCTTCATGCTTACAGTACTTTTTAAAAATAATAAACCATAATTTAACAGACAGCATGATGGTGTTCACTGTATTATTTCCCTCCATGTTAATACAATGCTATCCATCTCAACTAACTCAATTAGCTGTACAAATTTCAAAAATGACTTTGTGTGTGTGTGTGTGGGTGTGTGTGTGTGTGTGTCAGAAGTGGGATTTGAACCCACGCCTCCATTCGGAGACAAAAATGACTTTTTTTCTGTAAAATATTAAAATGGGCAAAAGAGCTACCAAAACCATTAAATGTGACAAACACTAGACCCAAAGTCCAGTTTACCTAATAGACGACTGCTTACTATTTTTTTCCGCAGTTCTAATACCTAAACTACATTTCTGAAGTCTGCACATAAACGTTGCCCTGAGGTCATTATATACCGAATATTACTATTCCTAGTATTAGTGCTCTAACAATCTGTTTCTCTCTCCGTTCACCCCACGTCTCCTTCCTCCCTCATCTCCTTCCTCCCTCTCTCTCCCTTCTCTCTTTCACACACACACACATTCACACAATGAAGCTTCCAAATAACTGTCCCGGCCCCGTCCAAATGTATTTTTATTTCTTTTGGAACAGGGGATTGGTACGGTCCTTGGGGTAATAGAAAAAGAGTTACGAACTGTATCATAAATACGAACCATCAGCCACGTCAAAAAGTCTACGCGTTGGGGGTAGGGCGGGATGCAGCTCTAGATAAGGGAAAGTAAACAAGGGGATTCAACTGCGTTGGCCGATATTATTGTTTGTACGTAGGCCTGTTGCTCTGGCTGGGGATTGGGGGAAGGTCCTAGGAGGACAACCATCCCACCTCCAAAAAGAAAAACGAAACCTTTAGCTCCCTGGGGAGGAAAGGAAAGCACTCCCGAAAGCGCTCCTCCCCGGGACTTGATTGCGAAGTCGCGGCAGGCCCGGCCCGGGCAGAAGCTGTCAGAACAGCCGCATCCCCGCCGCTCTGCCCACAGGAGAGGGACTTGCGTCTTCGCCCCCACTCAGATCACCAGGGTGTCCTCAAACGTTCTGCTCCCCTCCCTTCGCCACTCAGCCAGCTGACGACGAGCAAGAAGGAGGCGGCGGAGAGCCCCGGTCCCAGGGTGGAGAAAGGGCCGCCGAGCCCCGGGTCCTCCGCCTTCTGGGCCTCTGACCCCTTGCTTACCCACCTGATGCTCCTTCACCACTTCGCTGAGGCAGGGATACCGCTCCGAGATCCATCGATAAAACTTAGGGACTCCCATTTCGACCGTCAGTACTAACTCAAGTCAGGGCCAAAACGAAACCAAACGCCCCGCCGGGGCCTACGCTGCCGCCTCCGGCCGTCGCTCCGCAGATGACAACACACTGCCCGGCCAACCATAGAGAGCGGCCGCCGGGCCTAGAGCGGCCGGCTTCGAGACTGCATCTCCGGGGCGGGGCTCTAGCCCCGGCCCGAACTCGTTGCCGCGGAGCTGCCTGGTTACATTTAAGAGCGCCAGGCGTTTTTGAACGCGTGTGTGAAATTCAGTTCTGAAAATGTCAGTTGACAGACCTGAGCGCTGTTAAGTGGATTTGGAAGGGGGTGAAAACCTCACGAGACGACTGGAAGAGTCCTGGCTGCTTCCGTGTTATGGGATTACTAATCTCTGTTTTTCAACACAGATTTGGAAAGGTCTGATGATTTATTTGGTTTAGTTTGCTTTGTGAGCGGAAATTTTTTCTTTCAGGGTACAACAAAAATTTCTCTTAAAAACGTTCTTTTCCAAATTATTTGCGTAAAATGATTTCCTAACTCCCCTCCACCCAGCTTCCTCCTTAACTCTTAACATTAGGCCTTCGATAGGAAAGTATACGTTTAGTTTTCACATTTATACCTCTTGGGTTATATTTTCCCCCATCACACTTCAACTGTACAAAAAGGCAGAATTTTGTAAGGTAAACTTAAGTGAAATTATCTGTTACAAAAAGATTATGTTTTCATTTATCTGTATGTAATAACCTCTTTGCTTTGGAATTATTTTAAATCTTCTGCAATAAAATGTACCCCCAAATTTAACGTTAAAATTTTTTAGATTATAAAACCTCATGAAATTTTAAGTAATGCTGTTTCCCCCAACCACTGGATTCTGCATTCTGGTACACTTAGTATGGCAGCATCTTTAAAATTACAGAATGTTTATATAGTTTTCATATTCATGTTAATTGGCTAATTTTTTTTCCCTATCACATTTTCAACAAATACAAAAAGAGTATTACTAAGTGAACTTAATGATGTGCTATTTATGTTTACATCTCTCTTACTAGAAAGTTCCCAGAGGGAAGGGGATCCGTGCTTTGTCTACAGTATTTATTCAATATGATTTTTTGTTCAAATGAATCCTTATGTTAGTACTTAAAATCAACGAAAGTTGTAAAATGAAATTAGGCTGGCTTTTTTCTCGCAAATACATCTTTTTAAGAGCATAAGAACATATGATATTCCATTTCTCCAGTTATACACAGTATATGTTAAGAAAGCAGTTTATTTAACAACATATATTATTTTAAATATTGTTAACAATCAGGGAGAAATATCAGTTACTGTGAGAACATAAACATATGTTGTACTTTGGAATTGAATAGATACAACCACAGATTAATGATCCAAGTGCATTAATTTTAGATTATTAACATATTCTTTGAAGTAACTCCATTTCACATATATGGGGTCCAACCAAGGTACATCTGGCATAGCAAGTTTTCATCAGTTGCTTCTTGTATAAGGTAATGCACATGTCCTTCAATAGATAATGGCAGTCCTGTCACTCTATTTCGGGTCTTGATTACACCTTGTAGTCTCTGCTCAATGTCAAGAACATGGGTTTTGGCCTAAAAAGAAATTGAAAATCATAAGGACTAAGGACCCAATGACATGTAGATGTTTCTAATTTGGAATTACTGCCTTTCTTTTATCTAACAAATATTAATGCCATTTTACTGATCATTACCCCTTTTGTAAGAGCAAATGCAGACAAAGGAGAGAAGCAATGAAACAAATACAATAACTTGAGATACTGATCTCGAGGCTTGCAATGTTGATCTAACATCAACTGGACATTTTTCAGGACTCTGAAATACAAGGGAATCTCTTCCATGTTAGGAGTCTAGAAAAATAATAATATAAAAAAATCTACTCTGAAAAGTGTTTAGGACTTAAACATTTGAATATTAGTATTCTAATAACAGCAACAATACTCTAATGCCTAATGTTTAGATTATGTTATATGCAAATGGGAGTTCTAAGTGAGCTACTTGGAATTCTACATATTTTTCTCAATCAAGAAAGCATATCAGAATGCAAAAGTGAGAATGATGTAATTAGAAAAACAATCCTCAAATCTATTCTAACTTATTTAAAATAACTATCTGGAAAATTTGAGGATTCGACTAATATAGTCAGCTCTCTGCAGCCAATGATTCAACCAACCACGGACTGAAAATATTCAGGGGAAAAAAATTCCATAAAGTTCCAAAAAGGAAAACTTCAACTTGCTATGCACCAGCAACTATTTACATAGCATTTACACTGTATTTGCAACTATTTACATGGTATTTACATTGTACTAGCTATTATAAGTAATCTAGAGATGACTTAAAGTATATGGGATGATATACACAGGTTATATACAAATCCTACAGCATCTTATATACGGGAGTTGAGCATTCCAGGATTTTCGTATCCACAGGGGGGTCCTGGAACCTATCCCCCATGGAAATCAAGGGGCAAGGGACTACTATGTTAGTAAAGTTCTACATATTGAAGCTGAGACCTGCTGCTCTATAAATTCAGGCAATTTGTGTTCAAGTTTTTCCCACTCTATATCATAACTGTGATTTGTTTATGGTTAAACAAGCATGTGTTGAACTCTGTTTTTACTATACTAATGATAAGAATGTTAACATTAGTAATGACAATAACGAAAACTTATGGCATTGTCATACTAGACAGAGAACTAAATTTCAGAGTATGCAATGGTCAGTCACTGACAGTATTTAGAATTAGTTCCCATTTGTAGAGATATACAATATCAGTTCGTATCAAGCTACACCTTCTACTAACCTTTTCATTGACAACTTCCCCTGTTTCATTCAGTGGTGCTTTGGAATGCCCTTTCACTGGTTTACTCCATTCCACAAGAGGATCATGTAGAAAAGTCTTTAGGACACTAAAATGGAAACAAATATTATGGTAATAATACAATGTTATCTTTGTAAAAAGAACTCTCATTAAAGTCAACACTTAGGTGAAGGATAACTACTGAAGGATGAGAAACTAATGGTAATACTCTTACAAAACACATTACTACCATTTCAGAAAATGCTATGCTTCCTCCTTCAGAGAACTTGCTTTGCCTACGTCTAACTATCCAACGTATTCTACCATAATGCCTGGTAGACAGGTTTTAAATAAAAAAGTGAATAAGTGAGCTTTAAATGTCCTTTCGAAAAACTACTTCCCACAGCTAACATCATATTTAATGGTAAAAGACTGGCTTCTTCACCCCTAAGATTAGGAACAAGACAAGGATGTAGATGTCTCACCATGGCTATTTGACATTGATCTAGCTAGGGCAATTAGGCAAGAAAAAGAAAAGGCACTGAGATTAGATTAGAAAAAGTAAAACTATCCCTATCTACAGGTGACCTGTTGTTGTAGAGAGAAAATCTTAAGGTATCTGCAAAAATAACTATGACAACTAACAAATGAGTTCATTAAGGTTGCAGGATACAAGATCAATATAAAAATTTAGTTATATTTCTATACACTAGCAATGAACAATCCAAACATGAAATTAAGAAAAAAATTCCATTTAGAAATACTTACGAACACATTTTAAAAAAGTTAAATACAAGATTTACAAACGAAAAATTATAAAACATTGAAAGAAATTGAAGAAGACTTAAATAAATGGAAAGATATCCTATGTTCATGGATCAAAAGACTTAAGATGGCAATACTCCCTAAATTGATTTACAGATTCAATGCCATTCCTATCAAAATCCAGGCTGGCCTTTGCAGAAATTGGCAAGATGATCTTAAAATGCATATGGAAATGCAAGAGACTCATAACAGTCAAATAGTCTTGAAAAAGAAAAAAAAAGTCAGAGGATTCACACTTGCTGACTTCAAAACATACTACAAAGCTATAGTAATCAGGAGAATGTGCTATTGGCATAAGGTTAGACATACAGATCAATGGAATAAAACTGAGTATCTAGAAATACACCCTTACATGTATGGTCAATTGATTTTCAACAGAAATGTCAAGACAATTAAATAGAGAAAAATAATCTCTTCAAAAATGGTGCTGGCAAAAACAGAAATACAGATCAATGGAACAGGGTAGAAAGCCCAGAGATAAACCCACGCATATATGGTCACCTTATTTTTGATAAAGGAGGCAAGAATATACAATGGAAAAAAGACAGCCTCTTCAATAAGTGGTGCTGGGAAAACTGGACAGCTACATGTAAAAGAACAGTCCCTAACACCATACACAAAAATAAACTCAAAATGGGTTAAAGTCCTAAATGTAAGGCCAGACACTATCAAACTCTTAGAGGAAAACATAGGCAGAACACTCTATGACATAAATCACAGCAAGATCCTTTCTGACCCACCTCCTAGAGAAATGGAAATAAAAACAAAAATAAACAAATGGGATCTAATGAAACTTAAAAGCTTTTGCACAGCAAAGGAAACCATAAACAAGACAAAAAGACAACCCTCAGAATGGGAGAAAATATTTGCAAACGAAGCAACTGGCCAAGGATTAATCTCCAAAATTTACAAGCAGCTCATGCAGCTCAATATCAAAAAAACAAACAACCCAATCCAAAAATGGGCAGAAGACCTAAATATACATTTCTCCAAAGAAGATATACAGATTGCCAACAAACACGTGAAAGAATGCTCAACATCATTAATCGTTAGAGAAATGCAAATCAAAAGTACAATGAGATATCATCTCACACCAGTCAGAATGGCCATCATCAAAAAATCTACAAATGATAAATGATGGAGAGGGTGTGGAGAAAAGGGAACCCTCTTGCATTGTTGGTGGGAATGTAAACAGATACAGCCACTATGGAGAACAGTATGGAAGTTCCTTATAAAACTAAAAATAGAACTACCATACAACCCAGCAATACCACTACTGGGCATATACCCTGAGAAAACCATAATTCAAAAAGAGTCATGTACCATAATGTTCATTGCAGCAGTATTTACAATAGCCAGGACATGGAAGGAACCTAAGTGTCCATCGACAGGTGAATGGATAAAGAAGATGTGGCACATATATACAATGGAATATTACTCAGGCATAAAAGGAAACAAAATTGAGTTATTTGCAGTGAGGTGGATGGACCTAGAGACTGTCATACAGAGTGAAGTAAGTCAGAAAGGGAAAAACAAATATCGTATGCTAACACATATACATGGAATCTAAAAAAAAATGTTCTGAAGAAACTAGGGACAGGACAGGAATAAAGATGCAGATGTAGAGAATGGGCTTGAGGATAAGGGGGGGGGAGGGTAATCTGGGATGAAGTGAGAGCGTGGCATGGACATATATACACTACCAAATGTAAAATAGACAGCTAGTGGGAAGCAGCTGCATAGCACAGGGAGATCAGCTTGGTGCTTTGTGTCCACCTAGAGGGGTGGGATAGGGAGGGTCGGAGGGAGACGCCAGAGGAAGGAGAAATGGGGATAAATGTATATGTATAGCTGATTCACTTTGTTATACAGCAGAAACTAACACACCATTGTAAAGCAATTATACTCCAATAAAGATGTTAAAAAAACCAAATAATCCAATTAAAAAAAACGGGCAAAGGATGTAAATAGACATTCGTCCAAAGAAGTTATGCGAGTGACCAATAAACATGTAAAGATGCTCAACATAACTGGTCATTAGGGAAATGCAAATTAAAACACAATTAGATACAATTTCATACCCAGCAAGATGGATAAAATAATATAGATAGACAATAACAAGTTTTGGTAAGGATGTGGAGAAATTGGAACACTTAGACATTGCTAGTGGGACTATAACATATTACATCTGCTTTGGAAAACAGTTTGAAAGTTCCTCAAAATGTTAAGCTTA